TCATCCTCAATATTCTCCATATTAACTTGATACTTTGAAAACTTGGGGATTCTGGCAGAAGCTAACGTAAGGAGTAACTAAAAAACTAGTTAAATGACTGAGAGAACAGGGTCATTTAAAAAATGTGTATTTGTTTTGAATGCCTCTATAAAATAATTAGATAGATCTTCAATCCATTTTGAAGATTACATAGCTGCTCTAAGACATACATGTTTTGATCATCCTTTCAGAAAAGCTGCTAAAGAAGGCTGATCTTTCAGACTGAACTATAGCACCTCACAACACTGTATTAGTCAAGATAATCCCACCTAATAACAGCAGAAAACCCAGCAGAGTTGGCATTGCCTACCTCACATGCTGTTAACTGATATTGGAAGGTAAGAGTGAGGATGGGAAGAATTTTTTTTTTTTTTTTTTTAATTTGGCACCAAAGCACCTTACATACATCTAGAATAGCCCACTTCTCCTTGACATTTTGCAACTTAAATTTTGGGAAGGATGGATTCTTTAAGTTAAATGATACTTGGATACCACTGTCTCAGTGCTACTTTCTTGTCATTGTAAAAGACTGATTATAGCTACTTTCTACAAGGCCAGCAAATCTTCCTTCCTTCTCTATGTTCCCTTCTTTCTCTTCAGTTCTCCACCTTTCTCTACAACCACTGTGACCTATATTAACCAAAAAAGTGAAATAGGAAAGCATCACACAGAGGTCAGATACAAAGACTAAGTTTAGGTCCGGGAACAAGGAGAAGATGGTCCAGACAAAGAGACTGTGAGTCTATCAACAGTCCCAAGCAGGGAAGATTAAAAGGTGTGGAACGAAAGGTGACAACTGGCACTGATATGGTAATATTCAGGAATTAATTCTGTTTTGGAAAATGTTTCTGACAGAGAAACACACCTCTCTCCTCAATAAAGAACAAGTATTTGGACATTCAGAGAACACACTCCTTCAAAATACCACTCAGTCAGCATCCATGTTGCCAGATTAGGAGCATATGGACAGATAAAACAGGCTGTGACGCTGTATCTTTACAGTTAACTAGTAAGCATATAGAGATTATTTTAATAGAGAAGCTTCAAAATCATGTTGACCAGACTGAGTCTGAATTCTGTTTGAGGACTCCCTGAATCCTTAGTAAAAAAGCAGAAGAAATACATAGAGAAGTCCTTCAGTTCTTCAATAAATAACTAAATTAATAAATAATGCATTTAAGATGGACCCAACTTCTGGCCCACTCAGTACATGGAGAACTATTTTCTATTCTTTCTGTTGAGAGAAACACAGTGGAGAGGACATACCCCATTCTTTCCCTTGTGTGCACACCTGAGACACTAACTGCATTTGCAGATATTTTGTGACACATGATGAAGTCTCTTGAAACAGTAGAGTAGAACTTGCTCTGTTCATTTAATAAGACACAGCAGTAGACTTGACAATTGTATTATACAGTAAGACCCTTAGAATCCAGATTAAATAAATTCAGACTGTTAATATTTTCAGAATATTTATGCAAAGTTTTGTAACTAGAGGCATCTAAATTTGTGTGTTTCCAAGTCTGAGCTCCATACCTTATGCAGAGGTAATTATCATCAGTCTCAAGAAAGGCAGCGTAGAATAAAAACCTGTTACAGAGCTGTATCCATCTACCTCAATCTAATGAAAACTCTGAGAATGGATCATGAACCAGTGTTATTTATTTGAATAACAAAGACTTTCACTCTGTTAATAAGTTGAAACTTTACGAACAGGAAATAGTTTAATTTAGTGACTTGAGGTAATGGGTAGCCTGGGACTAGGTACAGAAGAACAGATTGAAAAAAATTCCTTCTGATGTATAAACACTTGGTATTTTGAAACTTACAACCATTTCTACAAGCTCTGCGCTTGCTGATGAAAGATCAACACTGCCTTTTTCTCTGGGCCTAAGTCAATAGTGCAGAACACATTAAATTAATTTACTCTTTTAGTAACATTTTCCACAATCAGCCAGCTGTCCAAGCACAGCAGCACATCTGAAAGTTAACAGACAGCCACTATTGTGAAATCCTTTGTAAAAACTGGCTCTGTGAACAAGCTGAATAGCAAAACACCGTACGTGTAATGGCAATTATCCACTTGGAACAAGAAAGATGTCCTGCAGGGCTTATGAATCACTTTATGAAAATAAGCATCCCAGATATCAAGATCTCCATGAGCTCTGTGCTTTTTCCTCCCTCTCTCATCAAGATTTTATCTGAAGATGTGATTTTCACCAGAAAAAAGGGCAGTTAGAGCACTTTTTGATGAAATGCACTTAGCTGTTTCAGCCCCAGACAAGTTGAGATCAGAGAAACGTCAAATTGACTTCTCTAATAAAAACAGTTTTCAGTATTAAATGTCTATTTCTGAGTTCTCTACAAAGAAGATTTGCCAATATGTGTGCCAGTCTCTCACCAGACAGGACAAGCATCCATTCCATAAAGGCACATAAAAGGCAGCTCTGTACATCTGAATATAAATTCCAAGGCTTTGAGACTAAACTCTGTTGAGAATATCTTAAGGGAAAACAAAAACAGTTCCTTCACAAAAGTTCAAAGGAAACTTAACATTAACTAACAAGAATGTAGCTGAGGTTAAATAGCTAATTAGCAACTATTACTATGTGCCTGAGAAAGAGGTCTCAAAGGGTTTTAGGAAGCTAACAGTGCAAATTCCCATTCACAAACTACAATACGAAGTTACAGGTAATATAAAGAGACTTAGGGCACAGTTTCATGATTACAAGATATTCCACAGGTTAGGCAATTATCTGTACACTTGCTCCTATACCTCTGTGGGGCAAGCCACCATCTTTTTTATATATGTGAAGAATTACTAGCATGACTGAACTATAATCCATATGCTGGACTGCAAAAAGGAGTGCTTTCCTTAACCAGGCAAATTCCTGGTTTGTGGATATAGATCCACAAACACCTCTGCTGCTAGAACTGAAGGAACGTTGCACCTCTCAAACAAGAATCAAGCTGCTAGACTTGGGGACACAGAGTTCAGAATTTCTTCTTTGGACTCTCACTGAGCTCTGTTGTCAGGGTAAACCTATATCCTGCCTAACACCACAATTTATTACTGTGCAAAATTTAGTCTACCTGTCAAAAAGACAAGCTAGCCTGCTGTGATGGGCTCCCTAGTGCTGCACCTACAATGCTTCCACTAACTGAACCATTAAATACTCCTCTTCTAGTCTGGGACCTGATCTAACTTTATCTGCTGCTCCATAGTCACTAGTTTTGACGGAACTGAAAGGTAGGAATGAGCACAAGCATATCCAAACCCACATACTACAAGTAAGGTATTGCTTCTAAAATGAAGTGTTTAACACAAAAGCCAGCTAAGAATGCAGTTCAAAACAGTTCAAGCTAATCTAAGCTGATGGAGAGACCTTATCGCTCTCTACATCTACCTGAAAGTAGGCTGTAGCGAGATGGGTGTTGGTCTCTTCTCCCAAGTTACGAGTGATAGGATGAGAGGAAACAGCTTCAAGTTGCACCAGGGGAGGTTGAGATTGGATATTAGGAAAAATGTCTTTACTGAGAGAGTGGTCAAACATTGGAACAGGCTGCCCAGGGAGGTGGTGGAGTTGCCATCCCTGGAGGTGTTCAAAAAATGTGTAGACGTGGCACTTCGGGTCATGGTTTAGTGGTGGACTTGGCAGTGTTAGGTCTGCTGTTGGACTTAATGATCTTAAAGGTCTTTTCCAACTTAAATGATTCTAAGATGCTATTCTATGAAACTACAGTCTTAATGTGCACAGAAAAGTGTACCTCACAACACAAGGGAAAGACTAATCAAAACTGGGACAGGAGTTCTCCAGTATAAGACTGATTAGTTCTCAGGTAGTGCTAGGGATTGAAGAAAATTGTTACATGATGCAAAATATAGATGAGAAAAGTTTCTAAGATGTTTCTGCAATCAATATCACAATACCATTTCTCCCAAGGACTGCAATACTAAATATCATTAACTACAATTGTTTTTTAACCCTGTCTCAGAGGATGTTACTGAAATTTCTCTACTATCTAGAAATTTATTATATAAAGGCTTTCTACAGCTACATATTTCACTGCAGGTTTTATTATTTGGCTTTTCCACCAACAGAAATAGTTTTAAAGGAGTGACTTTGCCCAAGCTCTGTACTGCAGAGACAGTCTTTCATTGAGTAGTGTCGCACATACAGAGAACTCAAGACTTGTGGAAAAAGCCTTACAACCTAGATTTCTAAAAATCCAGTAATTTTTACTTATTTATTTATTTTTAAAACCCCTATTATTCTTAGGGACATAAATGAGAACTCCTTCTCCTCAAGAAATTAGTACTGTATTCAACTATGACTCTAAGCTAATTCCTACTAGTAGATTAATTATCCTCTCAAACAGATAAGGAATATAAATGAGAAAACATTTTTCTGTAGAATTCCTAAAATGAAAAAAAAGAAATTTAATACAGACATGTTCTACAGGATTATTCCAGGAAAAAACCGAGATGAAACAGAACCTCTATTATTCAGTCAAGAACTTTCAAATAAATATAGTAGTTAGCTAAGTTTAGTCGTGAAATTTGTTCCCCATGATTGCAAGAAAATGACAATAGGGAAAAAAAGTTAGTAGACTGAAATATTACTCTTTATATCTTTTTTAAAAAATAATGGCAGTAAGATACAACTCAGTCATTAAAAACTTACCTGGGGAACAAAGTAGTCATAGCTATTCTGATTTGTCTCTACAATCTGCTAAGTTAACTATTAGCATATGGAAGATTCAGTTTCATATATGATCCACAAAGTTATTTACAACATTATGTTGTAAATGCAACTATTATTCTCTTCCAATCTCACATCAGTAAAACCGCAAAATATTTTTTCTTTCCTTATGATCCACTGATTCACAACTATCACTGCAACACCAAATAAAACATATCTCCTCCAGCTCAATTTTATAACATTTCAATATGTCTTTACCTCAGAATCTTTGAGTCTCACATAATTAGATGGGAAAACTCCTGATTTATCACCCAGTGTTCCTGTCCACCAGTCGCCATCTTTCTTTGTCACAAGAATCATATCACCTTGTTGAAAAGTTAGGTCTCCTTGTTCAGAACTCTCATAAGTATACATAGCAATAAACTCTGTAAGAGGGAAATAAATACAGAACATGGGAAAACACTTGGTAAACTGCTCAATTATCATTTGCAAAACCTAACTAATATAAAGTAGTCTATCCACAGGCTAGAGGGAAGACAAATTTATTAACTACTATTAATAGAAACCTCAATATGTAATGCATAAAATGATATATATCAGAACTAATAACAATCTATCAAAAGGCTGCTTCAAGGGGATTTTTTTGGTGTAAAATAATTTGCTAGCATAATTAAAATGTACATACATTATGAATTTATTATTTAAACCAATTTAAAATCAGAAACTACTCTGAAAACATGTTTCCGAATGGTTTCTCTTTTGTGCTGATGACTAAAATTTTCATTCTTGGGGATGGAGAGTCTCAGAATTCAAATATCTATAGATACGGTCTTCATTTTACATACGTTGTTTGGCTCTCGTATACAATGACTTCTTTCATTACTTGAAGCTTTGCATGCAGGGCGCACATCTCATTGCATCTTATGCAACAGATGGTTGGGAAATGTTAAGACAAAGCCTGAATGTGTTCTGGTTTTTTAAAACACAGTCAACTACATGTTGAGAAATGCAATGCATAATTCAATCACAGAATTACATGAAAAATTTTTACATAAATTATCACAAATAAAATTTCAGACAATTCAGTGACATTTTCTGTAAAACTTGATACACTCTTATTTAACTGAGCATTATGACACTTTATATGAGCACAACACAGATTTCTGAAGATTATATCCTCTGCTTCTAGGATCAGCTCTGGATCTAAGAGCAGTTCACAATATTTCAGGAAGACTTTCATGCACATGTAACAGAAACATTCCAAGTATTCCACCGCAGCTGGGAATTGTTCTATTTGCTTGGACACTAAATCTGATCAAAAAGCTTAGCTCAGGGAAGTTCAGCAAGAATTCAAACCACAATTATTATCCTTAATGAAAGTTAAAACATGGTTTGTCTAACAATTGCAGCTGAAGAACACACACATCTGTTTGTATGCATGTACACATGCACATTAAATATTGTAATGTATGCTATACACATGGAATTTTCCTTAAATCCTTTAAATGTAATAGAAGCTGCTAAATGCATGCTTTGTTATTCCTTAAAAATACAGCTTTTCTGAAATGTTTTATTAAAATGTTGTGTTCCTTTTTAATACAAACCTATAACCTGAGATATCCTATACTTTACGAAAAAGATTAGCATTTCTACAATTGCTTTTCCTCAAATATATAGTGAGCAAGACTAGTTGTATTTTGAAATAACTGATTATCTCACTTTCCTTGTTACATAGATTTTTACCATTCCCTCCTTTTAATTTCTGTAGGGCTCACTGCAGTGGCAAATTAAATACATCAGTAACCAATGAGACTCACTTAAAATTGTACGTAGAATTGTAGTTAAAAAAACTTAAGGTGTGCTGTAGAGATTATACACAAATGTTCATTTGTAATTTATATTTAGATTCATTGATTTACTCTGACTGTGATTTAAATTAACCTAGCTGACTCTGCACTGAAGTGGGTTAAGAGTGCCCACACAGTCTGTTAACACAGCTTGTGCGGAGACATTAACCTCCAGCTGAAGGGTGGTGAGAGCCAGGAATGCAAGTCTTCTAAAACCCTTCTTGCCTGACAATTATCTGTCTGTGCCCCAGGCTCCATCCTTAAAATTGAGGGCTAGCCTTAACCATAAGGATCACAACATTCTAAAACTGACTGTAATTTTTTAATTAAGAGTTTTAATGAAACATTGGAAATGAGCTTTGGGTGAAATTAAGACATTTATTAATAATTCCTGACATCATGAAGTACATGTACAGTTGTGCTTATTTGGCTCTCTGCAAAAAAACATTCCAGACTGGGAATTGCTACCCAAATATTTATACAAGAACCAGTACAAACTCCAGAAGATATTTTAATGGCATGGGAAATTACTTCTTCTATATATACAGCATATATAAATTCTTACTATAATAAAATTAAAGTGCAAATCAATTTACCTCTAGAATGATTTAAAATTAACAGGCTCAATCTTAAAACACTAAGATCTGATTCTAAGCTTGTTTCTGGTAATAACCAGACTCCTCTATTTAATTACATAGTAAACTACTATTAATGCCATTCAGTTGGAGATGCTTACCTTCACCTGACATAGCTGCTTTTGTTGCTGGTGATGCTACTCTTTTCAGACTAGCAGGACTTTCTGAGGAACCAGAATCCATGCTTCAGAAGAAAAGAATGGTTATTTAAGAAATTAAATCTCTTCAGAAAAATTATAATTAAAAACTAAAAAATACATATGCATCCATAAGCAATTCCCTACATTTTAAAAGAAGAGACAGCAAATGTGCAAATTAAAGCTTTTAAGTACAATGGCCAGTCATGGTTACATTTAGGTATTACCTTAAATACAAAAGTTTCTGCACCTCTTCTTCTCCCTCAGGAAAAAAAAAAAAATCGTTCTCATTTGTATTACTGATGTTAATGTTACCTTCACATTACACAGAACCAGATTTTGATTGTTAAGTGATTAAGTTTTGAGGTATATCTTTTTATTTTGGGGAAAGATAAGCTATGACTTCCATAGCTGCAATTAATGAAATCCAATACACTAATTTTTTAGTTGCAAGTCACATAAAATTAAGACCTCCTTTAGATCTTTTGTTGGTGATGCATGACTCAAGGAGAATGGAGGTCAGTTTTCTTATTCCTCATACGCATTTCCAAGGTTGGAAGTCAAAACCCCCCAGAAGAAAGTCATATTAAAAAAAAAAAAAAAGGCATTTTTACAGAGTAGATTCTAAACTTTAAAATTCAAGTGTGCAACTCTTCATATTTATTTAACTATTACAGTATAGAAGTAAAGTGTGGTCAAAGCAAATGAAATACCTCGTTGACTTCCTAATGGGGCCTGAAATAAGCTTCACATATGATTTAGGAAACCACCCCTTTTGTCCTTGAACCTCTCCAAACCACCACATATCTTGCTGCTCCAAAACTGTGATGATATCATTTTTGTTGAAATTCAGGTGGTTGTCTTTTTTTGCTCTCCAAGGATACAAAGCCTGTGCTTGAAGCCCCTCGACTTTTTCACCCTAACGCAATTTTAAAAACAAGAGAGAGAAGTCAGTCATGCACCACCTTTCATAAAGCAAGCGGCTTAAGGAACTATATTCTTAGGCTACTTATATAGCAACAAAATACACAGACTCTCCCTCACCTGTACACAGCAAAGTCAGTCAATTAAATGTACATAATAATACCAGAAACGTTTATGGTCCTCCTACATTTCTATCTGTTTCTAACACATAATCAATACAATGCAAGATTATCAGAAGTTTTGCTTAACAAGTTAAAGTTTTACAATTAAGATATACATGTAAATAAACCTTCATGAAGATACTTTGGCAGGACTTAAAGTAAACTTTATGGAAAATGATGCTTTGGTGCAAGTTACTCATTGTACATTCCAACTGGTTTTTTTGCTCTAAGATATTAAGATATTTAGCATTTTCCAGAACACATTAGCTTACAAGAACAGTATGTTGTTCAGTTGAGGAAAAGTAAATGCCTTAACAGATGGACGGAATTCATCTGATGTGAAGCTTTGCCATTGCTATTCCACTGAACTACATAATCCACTTTGGAGTGAAGGTTATTGTCATGTCATTCAGGAAAGCCCCAAGGAAGTGACCCAAAACTGGCATCCTGCCAAAACATTAAGACTGGACCACCAAAGTCTAAAAAAGCCAGCACAGAATAGCAGAACAGAAACTGCTTCATGTTAAATTCTGCCATGGATTTTGGAAATGGGTGTGCACTACCTGTTCATCACTCCAAACTGAAACAGCTTACCTGTCTCAGGGAACTGTTCTAATGCATGGTCAATGTTCATACTTTGCTTTCCAAACATTCGTGTTGGGTCAGAACAATTAGAATGAATATAGGGCTCACCTGACCCAAGACAGGAGAGGGAGATGACCCTGTAACAGCGGCAGGAGTGAAGGCTGATCGCTGCCGCAGCTGCCCTGCACTGGGAACAGTCAAAGATGGCTGAGCTGCCCAGGCATCCCAGTTATCAGTCTCCGGTTTCTCACTAGCGTTTGTTGGCCATCTGAAAAAAAGGGAATGACGTAATTCCTACCATTTTCAACTGAATGAAAACACTCATGCAGGAAGATTGTGCAGAAAAAAATATCTACATTCTAGGTTAATTTCTTTTAACTGAATATTCCATGGAAGTAGTGCAATCAAACATAGACTAACAATAAATTCATCTTAAAAAGGCAATCTCTAAATACAGCTGTTTGTCCTTGTTACTTAAGGCCAGCTGCTCTTGTGATTTAGTTTCATTTCTTAGCTGTGCCCCAATACAACAGAATTTCAAGTAGCGCAGTCTATAGAATACACAGTGGAAAGAGGTAACTTAAAAAAAAAATCATTCTCTTCAAAACTGGTTTGAAATCTTCACACCTGCACATCACTGACCTCTCACAGCCCTTTCCCTTATACATCATTTTGCTGCTTCTCATTCAAATCCTTAGCCTTTTTCTTTTGCTTAAAATTATTTCCTACTGACTTCTTTCAACTCTTTAGAGTTTTATGCAACCTCTTATCCTTTTTATGTTCTATCTTGTCCTTTAAAATGCCTACTCAATCTCATAATCCACATCTCTGCCTCCAAATACCCACTTCGATGAACAAAATCCCCTCAACTCCAGTAGTGTAAACAAAGCACCTAAGTTTCCTTTGCCTGTTGCTTGTGCTATTAGTTGGAGTAATCAATTGTTGTACAACTGTTGTTACAATCCACCTAGATTGTAACAGTGTCCAAAGGCCACGACCATCCCTAACCCCTATATCATGTCAAGGACAGTATTATTAGTATAAATGCTCTGGGAGTCACTTTGTATTGAAACTAAATATTAATTTTTATGAAAAGCACAAAAGCATGCATTATCCACTTAGGGTAGCAACAGCTTTGTCAAATGTGTGATTTATTCAAAATAATAAAATCCAGCATATCCCAGACACCTTCAAGAAGCTCAAGATTTAATCTTGCCCTCCTCCCTCAGAAAAATGACTGTGCGTAGTAAAACAGAAAAAGTTTAAATAACTGGAGAAGCTACTGTGACATATTTAATGAAAATTTTGAAATAGAACATATTATGTACTGTAATATTGCACTAAGATATTTAGATTTTAATTTATAAATATGTATTCCATGATCAAAAGATAAGATTATTACTTACCCAACCCCATTCACATAGGATTGATAATACTGCACAGAACATTAAATTATATTAACAAGACATCTAGGGAAGGGCACATGTTCTACTTGCGTCAGTCTTACTAATGTCGTGATAAGGAATTAATAAATCATCTTCTCATGTTAACTCTGTCATTATCATAGTTTGCATAATCCAAGCTTGAAACCTTCAGTGAGGACTGGTGTCAACTAATTTAAGAGAAGGAAGGTGAACGCCTTGGAATTACCATCATGTCACCATCCTGACTTAGGAATGTCTCCTATTTGTGATGTGTCCTTCTGCATTGTTCAGGCAGATATGATGGGAGCATTGTTAAAAGTTCCACAAGGCTGTGATTTTAACTATTTACTACATAAAAAATACTTTACCTCAAACAAGCTATTTTTATTTTGCAATCTGGATACTCTGTGTTAACTGCCACCACAGTCAAAACGATTAAAAAGGATTTCGCCACATTTAAGGTGGTAACACTACCCAAACATACGTTGAACTGAAGTCTGCCCAGTTATTGGCAGTTGTAGTACACTCTGTAGAAGCAGGAGTTCCTAGAGACGTAGTGGTTTCATGCACAGAAACTTTAGGTGCAGCAGTTGCCTCAACTGCTGGCTTTACAGAAGCTGGAACTTCATTTTCAGGTATTTTCTCTGCATAGTTTGCAGGGAACCATCCAGTTTTCCCCTTCAATTCTCCACCAAGCCACCCTGGTTCTCCAGTCTGGCTTTCATCCACCTGTAGACACATTAAGTTAGAACGTTGAGAAACGTAACATACAAATGGCATTTTTACTTAAAACAATCCATCTCATCCACAGTAATTAACTTTCTCTAGTTACAGACATGACACCTTCATTACAAATACAAGTTCCACCTAAGCAGAATTTGGTTTTGTTGTTATTTGATTTACCTTTGGAGAGTTATGTTGACAGCTATTCTTTCTATGGCGTATTAATAATTAAGGGAACATTTTGCAATGCAATACTGCTTTGCAATTCTTTTTTTTTTTTTTTTTCTTTTTTTTGCCCCAAGCCAAAATCAAAAGAATTTCTCAGTGTTGAGGTTAAAAAGTTTTATCAGTCCTAATGCATAAGCCAAGCAAGGGTTTTTAAATAGTTGCTTGGAAGTCTGTTATAGCACAGCAGACTTTGGAAAACTGAGTTCTAGCGAAAACCCTTAAATGCTGATATTTCTGGTTTAACTAACACAAAATGCAGGTTCTAACAAGTTTTCCTAGATTTGCTCTTGCAGAAAATACAAGAAAAAAACCCCACAGCATATTAAAAACAACACCCATCAAACAATTCAACAAATGCACAGATTTGCTAATGTATTTGTACAAAACAATTCCATGGTAAGTTTTCACGCGTAAATTTGCAGGCCTCTGTTCCTTCCCCTCACTCTGATATCTTTGCCAAGTCATAAAGGACAGGATGAAACAGGGCTATTTTTGCAGCTGTATTTTAATTCCTACTTATTGATTATTATAATCGTGTTTAGCTATGATTTTGCAAACTTCACACTTTCCTGTTAACTTTTCTTAAATATTTCAAGCATTTGTTCTCCAAGCTCTACGGACCAACTAGTCTCTTAGTCTGCTATTTCAACAAAAGTGATCAGTTTAAATTCTGTGAGCTGCAGCTAACCACATTCAGCAAGAATCGCAGGAGAAAAGTAATTCACTGCTGCTACCCCTGGTGAATTGATATGGTGGCTAAATAAATACCTCCAAGGCAATGCCAGTTGCAGAAACTTTTTAGAAGAAAAAAGGCAGTAATTTCGGTAAACTTGGTGTTCTAGCTATCTAATCTCTTTGATAGGTCAAAAGAACCTAAGTTTTCAAGCAAATCCTTACATATGAATAGGGTTTGCACCTTTGACATGTAAATAACACCTACTTTGTACAACAGTCTGCTGTGCATAGCTGCAGATTCCCCAGCAATGGTCAAGTCAGCAGTAAAACCAGGCCAGTAATAGAAAGTCAGCTAAACAACCCTACACAGTGGCTGAATTTCTCTCACGTTTTTAGACCAGTAGCAATCAGTATTTCAAAATATTTGAAATACTTTCAAGAGTTTCAGATGACAGCATAACTCAAGAGCTGACCATGGCAGATAACAGTACAGCAGTCAGAGATGCTTAGCTTTGTACTTCTACATCACCTATTTCCTAAAAATCCATTATCAATGAGAGGGATTTGTTGATAACAGAATGCTTCATGAGCTAAGGAATAAGAAATAGTATCTTTCTCAGTCAAAGGAGTGTTCAGTATATGCCATTATATGAAAATAGCATATAGTAGTGTCTCGAGCTAGATGCTTCTACAGTTGGAAACACACCTATGAATTCACTCCATCGATTTTAATAAAGTATAACCCCATCAGCTGCTTGTTAGGATGAAAAAAAAAAATTAGTGGCCAAAGAAAAATTATTTGTGGCAATGGTGCAAACTAGTTGCTCTAGCCTAAAGGTGGGACCATTCTTTTGCCTAGAAGTGACTGAAACCAAAGCAGCAAAGCTTCTGCCTCTGTCCCTAGACTACTCATTTGAACTGCTGAGAGATTGCTTTGCCTTAGGCCAGCTGTTGACTCTTTGACAGCCTCCTATTGTAATTTGTATCCCACACCCCTCTTTTGGTGCAAAACAATCCATTATTTCTGTTTTTTGTTGGGTCCATCTTCTGTCTCAGCCCCTATTAACTCAAAGCAAACCCAGAAATAAAGCGACTACATGCTTGACCAGTTCAATGTGATTTTACTGCAGTGCAGAGCAGAATTTCTGCTGCAGCACTGGATAGGATTGTTAGAGCAGCAGTATGAGTGATGGAAGGTCACAGCAGAGGGTGAATCTTGGGAGAGAGAGAAATGGCTTATCAGCACCTGATGCCAAGTTGAATAATCTGAACAGTAATAATAGCCACACAGTTTCTACTCTCATTCAGTTGGTCAGGTAGTAACTAGAATCACTAACATGCAAAAGAATGAGGACTGAAAAGCCAAAAATCTGTTATGGTGATGTTCTAAATAGGGCATCTTTTAAATGAATTAGTCATACAGAAACCACTGATTTTTCAGAAATAAATGTTTTGTACAAGCAGAGGAAAAAAAAAAACCTACCAAAAGGTTTTAAAAGCAACCGATTTCATCTCTTCAGAAGACAGTTTTAAGTTAAAATAATTCATAAAACAGTCTATTAGGACACTCAAGTTTATGCTTATTCAATCCAATTAAGTTTTCTATGTATACTCATGAAAGGCACTTTGGAGGATGATTTTAACTCTATAATTCATAAAAAAATCTGGTTTCTCAGTTATTCATATAAAATATAATTTGCATCTGTTTCTGTAGTACAGTACTGGAACTTTAAATAAATACCTTTGAACCTTTTTAAAAATCATCTAATTTCCTTATATTTTTACACCCACCATCCCCAACCCAAGTCCCTATGACAAACTATCCTAGAATATTTTTTTCCAAAATACAACTAGACTTTAAATGTACACCTGAACAGTGAATTATAGTGTGGAGGGGGTTAATTTTTTATTTATTCAATTGTACTTTAGAATCATGGCTTACAACTACTTAGTTTCAGCGACTGAACACAAGTGACAGGAGTAACAGCAACACAACTCTTAGCACAAAAGCAATAGATTGAGTTAGTATCTTTCTCAACAGAAGGGCTGGCTTTGCAGTGGCCTACCCCACTTTGACCTGGCTTCTGTATCACTAGCAGTGCATGCACTCACAGAGAGAAGCCCTGTTTTAAGGTAGATATTCACTCTGCATACAAAGCCAAACCCTAATACTCTCACAAAAAGTATTTAATCAACGTTAAACAGAGTACCATCATCTGTTTTGTTCAACTACCTATCAGTTGAATGACCACTTAAATTCTCTTCCACTTGTAGGCTTTTGATCTAGATATTTTGAAACTGCTGGAATACCCGTTAGAATGTTGAATATACGCTCTGCCGACTAGAAGCCATATGCTGATTACGCCTACACAGGATCTAACACAACGAGGCTGTCTATGTGTCTAATACAAAGAACATTCATTCTAACTCTCACAATCAAGAACTGACAAAACTGATGAGAAACTATCCTTATGAACTTGTTTCAGACTTTCCATGGAAGCTTATTTATGAACTTCCTGTTTAACTTATGCTCTCCTGCTATCAGAGCCACTGCAATTCAGTTATTCATTAGTCCACCTCTATTTCATTGAATTATGGTTGTTTATTTAAATAAGCTGTATTATATAAAATATTATCAGCAGCAGCAGAATCCATTCATTTACTTCAAGCTGGAGCCTAGCAGCAGCAAATGCCAGCAGGACTTGCTTTCTAAGAGAGCTATAAGGAATTCCATATATTGTATACATATATTCATACACTTAATAGAAACTTAACTTCTTGACCAGACAGAGCCCTGAAAAAGTAATGGCTTTCATGGCTCAGAATATCTGTTCCCAGACAAAAGCTTGGTTGTTATAGTTAGGATTATAAATCTCTCTAGCTTACAGTGAAAGACATTTAAAGTACATAGAAAGGTAAGAAGCAGAGAAAGCAGAAACCCAAGTTAAGAGAAAATATAAAAATCTTGTAATTAAAAAGCAGAATTAAAAAAAAAAAAAAAATCAAACTACAGCCCATGCCCCACGCACTGTTTAAACCATCACCCAAGATACAGAGTGCTACAGATAACCAACGTGTACTGGAATGTCAGTCAGAAGAAAGCCCTCCTCAAATCTGCAAATACACTTCTCTTCAGAATAAACCCTCAACCTTCTCCCTCATTTCCACCAAGACAGTCTCAAGATTCATGCACAGTGCAAAAGTGCATTACACTGTTATAAAAACTATTTACAAGCTATACATCTATTAAAGCCACAAGTCATTCTGACATAATGAATTCTGAAGTCCTATTTACATCCAGGATTTAAGCCTGGTTCCCATTGTGCACAGTAAATTGATTTGGGCTTCAGCTGGATTCTTTGCTCACAGAAGTTACAGTTTGGGTGGTATCTTCTGTACAGCTATATGATTACAGGACATGACTGCACAAGCCTGCACACACAAAGCCATTTGTAAGTGTTAAAATGGTGAAGTGCTAAATTTGCCTATGTTAGAACACAGTTATTCTACGCAATATTTATATCGTTGCACCCAGTAAACTCCTAACTGTATAGGTCACCTTAATTACAGAGTTGCACTTATAAATTAGACACACTTTAACATGTAAGCTTGTAAATTATTATTTTCCAAAAAACGTAACCGACTTGACCCTTTTAGAAGCACAGGACACGACAAACACTTAAGGACAAAGAAGAGTCTAAGAGTCCAAATGCCCATTATCAAAAGTAAGTTCTGGTCCATTGCACTTAAATTACTTTTGACAATGTGAGCTAGTTTGTTAACTTTACCCTAGGTGAACTGAAAAACAAGTAAACTACACGATAACAAAACCTGTATTTATGAAATGAATAAATTGCATAGACTTCCTAACAGTCATACAGCACACTTACCCATTCCCTTTTAACCTCCATCAGGAAAGCAATGATTTAAAGCAAGGCAGAATTATAACATATTTCACAGAAGTGTCTTACTTACATTAACTTTTCTAAGAGCAGACCATTTAAGCAATTACTACAGAGCAGGAGATAAATCCCACAAGAATCAGTCATCAGGTTTAATTATTGTCAAATATAAGTTAAATAAAGAAAATTGAGAGTAGTTACTCTACTTTTGTGGATTAAGTTAAAATAAAGCCCAAATGTAACATATAGAAAGACTCAGATTACCTTAAAGTCTCTAAAATGTATGAAGTGCTCCTTAATATCATGTATTTTTGGCAAAAATGTTATTTCCCTGCAAGTCTACCTAATAGTGATTACTTCAAGGAAGAGAACAGTTCACTTATATGCCTAGGCTACAATCTATCTCCCAAGAAAGCAAGACACAGCATTTTTTAATAGCCTAAGGAGACCCATGTACCGGTATCCCCTCTCATTTAACAGCTGACTGACCAATACTATTTCTTGATGCAGAACAACAACACATTGCATTGTTATTCAGAATGGCATTGGGCCTCTTCCCGAGTCATTCAGTAGTGCTAGTAATCCAGGATTCACCTTTTATTTTCCAAAAGCAGATTCTAATGTCAAAAAGACTTCAGTGTGACACAGCTGAGTAAATAAAAGAAAAAAAAAAAAACAAAGCACAAAAAACCAAAAAGGCCAGAGAGATGAAGGCTCATCTCCCCAGAATACATGCTTTTTAAAAAATTATCATTACATCTTGTGAGAGTCTACAAAGTGTATTTTTCTAAAATCCATAGTTACTAAACTGTGCCAAAATGCAATAGCTCTTAAAATGCATTTTCTTACATAGAACACCCTAGTGAACACACTTTCCCACAGTGAACAAGGTATCATTTAATAGTTACACTAGGAATTTTTGTTATGAATTGACATATGCATGCTAACATCATATTAGTAATTTATTAATATCAATATACACATTTAATAACTGTAGCCATTAACAACAGATCTATAAGAGGTGAGAGACAAAAGCAGAATATCGCTTTAGAGTTTAACATGACAGTTATAGGCTGACCATATCCCCATTATCTCATCATCTACGTAAAAAAAAAAGGAAATTATTCCGTATCAATATACCTGCAACCAAATTTTTAGGTTTTGAAGTTTCCATTTTTTAGAAATGACATTTTATCTACTGTATACCCTCTTCAAAATAAAAGTATCTCACAAAGAGTTAAGTAGAAAAAAAGGAGTAAATTATCATATAAACAATTCTAAGTTTCATAAATATAAATTTCTTATTAGAAACATACTTTATTTATCAAAGCCAGTTTTTGATTCCACACATAATAGCCACTCTCTCAATAGAAAATAACAGTAACTTTATTCCCTAGCTATCTTGGAGGACAAGAAAATTCTCACTGAGATAGCTTTTGTATAGGAACCTTTTCAAACACATTGACAGACACACACAGCTCAGCATACTAAACCTGATATGATCTACTTATAGATTATGTTTAAACTTTACACTTACAATGAACTGTAAGAAGCTATCCATTATTATAATAGGGCTACTATGTCACATCACCATTTTGGTATTCACGGAAATATTTTTCTCAAGTATGTAAAAAAAATCCTGCCATATATAATTTCAATCACACAAGTGCAAAAGCTTAAGTAATTTTTTCAAGTAATATCACAATCTCTTCTTACCATGACTATGTCACCAGGCTGAATAGTGATTTCATCATGGCTTCTTGATTCAAAAGGATACAGTGCTCTATAATACACTATTTTTACATCCTCCTGAGCAGAAATGGTTAGAGGAGCTTTTTCTGAGCAGAGGAAAAAAACACACAGATACAATGGAAAAAAAAAAAAAATTAAAACATATTATTTTTAAATATTTGAAAAATCAAGTGAAATGGAGACAAAAATTAAGAAACCTTACATTGTCTGTAGGAAGTATGTTATCCCCATTTTACACAGGGGGAAATATGAAAATGAATTATTTGAAATATAATTTTATTACTATTTTCTTTCCTAAATATCAGGTAAAATATTACTATTTTACTATTACTAGTAATAGTAGTAAAATACTACAATTTTCTGATATATAAAACTATTTTCATAGAAAGAATCATACACTTATTATGCAACATACATGACTTGTCAAATGCTTCAATGATTTTATAGGTTAAATCTGATCAGCCATTTTTTCAATTCAAACGGTGATGTTCTTGCATATATCAATGGTAATTGAAAGATGTTTCAAAATGTTCTAGTGTATACAGATTGGCTGAAAAGAGGTCACTTACAGATCATGTTTTTAAAAAATTACATGCTAAAGATGTATTATTAGAAAAAGAATAATACCAAAAAACCCCAAAGATAGAAGCTAAATTGCTCTTGTGCACTTTCTGTTTTGTATATTCAGTCATAAAAGTACCCTCTGCTACTCTACACAAATAAAACCTAGCAAAAGAACATATTAGATTAAGTCAATTCTAGATTTGGGCTAAAAGATAGAAGGTAATTTCTCCTTTATGCAATCCTTTGATCAAATATTTAAACAAATATTACATTCCCAATCAGTTCTCTTGTGTATGTATCAAAGCCACTTAAGAGGAACCATGATTCCCAATAATCAGATTATAATGCATAGAAAAAGCTCTCAACTGAAAGTGATCATGTGCATAGCAGAAAAAAGGGGGATTAAATCTTAAACTTCAGGTCATTTCAGTAAACAACATGCATGGGGAAGAGGAAAAAGGATAACTAAATGACATATTGCTACTACTCTAAAAAAATCCCAAAGCATATATCCCACACCAAAATAAGAACTGTAAAGAAAAGTACGGAAATAATTGTTGACGTCTTGCATCAAGATCTCACAACAGCTTACAGCTAAGATTGTCTCTTCAGTTGGCACTGTAATTCTCATTAACTGTGCTTTATACTCTGCTAAACATCATGCTTTTAGGAATAGTAGGGAAGAATAGTGAAGCCTAAAAGAACAACTTTTTGGAGTCTAGAGCTCAATTCATACATTATTTACTTTAATAAGACTAGCAATCCAATCTTGAAACATAATATTCTTCTGAATTAAAAGGAAAGACAAAACAGAAAGTAATTGTTCAAGAGGTATGTGCAACTGCATTTCTTGACTTTTTCCTCTACCTGCATTTGACCAAGGAGCCTGGACAGCTGGCTTGATTGGCTCTTGCTGTGGTTGGAAAAGCTTACTCAGTTTCTCTTGCATTTCCTGTTTCCCCTTATCCTCACTTTCCTTCTTCTTGGTTATTTCTTCCCTTTTTTGCTTTTCATCTTCCTGAATTTTTTTTGGCCACTGAAGTTCTTCTTCCGGTTGCATACGTTCAAGCCGCTGTTTATCCCGTTCCTGGATACGCCTGTTGGACAATTAAGGTGTATTTTTAAGCCAGTCAAACAAAAGACCATAACAGTTAGTTGACCTCGTGTGTGATCTATATGATAAAGTGTACTCTTTATGGCTTTTGCGTACCCTATAAGAGCTGTTAATTTTGTTTTGGTGAGTTATCAACCACTCCACAGCATCTTCTTACACAATGACTCCTAGAGGGCAAAGGAGAAATATTCAGAAAGATTTGGTATGACTCCATATGTATCAAAAAAGAAAGAGCTGTGACTCTCAGACAAATGAAAGAACACTATTTCATGTAACCTACTATGAAGTGCAGGCCTCTATTACCTTGACTTGCTTTGTCTTTGCATTTAAAAAGCTACCTTTAATATATTTTTTATTTTAACTCACGTATCAATTCTGTACCTTTACAATATGAATTCCCAGAGGTCTAAAAGAGGTACAGAGCAACCTGAGCATACAGAAATGGTAAACTAGTTATGTTTTGGAGCTGAACATAAGATGTGGGGAAAAAGAAAACATTCAACACTATTTTTTCTTGACAGAGTTCTTCAGAGATTTGTAAATGCTAAACTTTATCTTCTTTATTGAGGCTGTGATCTCTTCTCCTCTACAATGACATGCAAACATATTTATTTGTGTTTTTCTAATTATTGTATGAAACTACACAAGTATCTTAGAAGAGTCTCCTACTCAGCTGGCAATGCTCTGAAAATTATAAGCTTTCAGTATCTGACGCTTTCAGTCCCACCTCTTCAACTCAACATCTGAGTGTCAACTTGGGGATTTGTGTATTCTCTTTTCATAGTTTTCAATGGGATTCATAAATCCTATGCCATTGTTTTAAGTGATGAACCATATGGAGAAAGGAGGAAGAGGAAAAAAAAAAAAATCTCACTTGGCTGAAGAAACAAAACTCCTTGGCATCCAAGAACCCAGACATAAGCCTTTCAGTTCCATGTAACTTTAAGACTGCTTTTCAAAATCTCTTCCCGAGTAGTCTAATTCAAGCAATTTGAGTATCTCATTATATCATCATTGCAAGTTACCATTTTCATTTACCCCACAATTCCTTTTATTTATTCTAGGCCTGCAGATATCAGCTACAGCCATCACCAGACATTTTCAATAATGAAATTTTACTATAAAGTTTTTTTCCCAAAACCCAATAAGCAGCAAATTATACACTTCAATTTTTATCTGCTCAGCACCAGCTTCAGCTCTAAAATGCAGGAAGAAGTCAGGAATATCGATGAAACAAACTGGTTCTGCTTATTTTCTCAAAGCCATAAACATCCCTAGGTAAGACTAAAATAGCCAAGCCAGAAAAAAAATAAAAGCAGTAATTGGAAAATATGGCAGTCCTGATCCTCCTGTTGAGGGGTAAGGAGTAAAAATATTGCAAGCTTCATACAGCACTCTTTGCAAAACTACTCAGAAAATTTCACATTCCCAAGTGTGAAAGCTAACAAGTCCTTCCCCTCTGACAGAGGACAAGACAACAGAAGAAAAGAATACATATTCTCTGCTAGAAACAATTTGCACCAGTAAAGATAACTCTAAAGGGCTATAACAGATGTACAGTGTGCTTTATTTTGTTCCATTAGCTATTCCACTTCTATATTTTCTTCATACTTACAAAATTAGTGACAAACACATAACAAGCTGGTCATTACAGACTTGGCCTACTATAAAGAGCATATTTTGTCCAAGGACAATATGAACTCCTGGACAAAAACTGTGTGAAAAAAAATTAATTCCCTACAGGGAAATGTCCACTTTCCAAACACTAGGCACCAGAGGGCAAAAATCTCATATCTATCAATGCAAGTTTTGAGTAGGCAAGAACATTTTCTGAGATGTCAAGGTACCCAGTACCTGTTTAAGATGACAGCTACTAACTTACAAGCTCAAAAAAATCTTTGGTTCTCAATGAAGTTGCTGATATCATTTCAGTATTCCACATCAGTATATAACAAGTAGAGGTTAAGACATCAGTGTGAAGGGTATCACTTCCTCCTCTATGAACTACTGCTACACTTTTCTGCCTTCAATGTGAAGTCATCTAACAAGTTAATAAATTCACTGTTCTGACAACCTCTTAGTTTAATCACTGAATTAGTCCTTCATATGTTCATTTGCAAAGTATTCAGAGCCAATTACTCAGCAGGTTTGTTGCAACACTGAAGGTGCACCAGACAGGCATACAGAGCTCAATTTTCTCTTGACTTGAGTGGTGTCTTACCTGGTGAGTTTAGTCAGATGGGCTTTAGATGGGAAACTGAGTTTTTAATTAGGTTTCTAGTAGAGTCTTCCCATACTTATAAACCAAGTTTGTTCTAACTGCTGGAGTGAGAAGGGTAGATGAAAAATGTACCTTGAGGGGGTGTGGGCTATGTGTGATTTCTTTTTTCTTCCACAGAAGCTGCAGAATTTTCTTTGATTGTTACGGGAGCTAATATCATCAGTTGAAGACAAGGAAAGGAGTAAGAAGAGACAGAGAAGCTAAAGAAAAACAAGCCTAGGCATGAGCGCCATAGCTTGGGGTTATGAACAAAAAACTTGATATTCTGCTCTCTTCCTTAGTTCAAGACTCACAATGTGTTAATTATCGTGGAATATGACCTCTAATCTGGGATTTACCTATACTTGCTTTTACTATTTTTATTTCCGTTTTTCTCTCACCAGTTGCATTATACCACTCAAGCATTTCTTATCCCAAACACCAACAGTAAGCTCTATTCATTTTACTCAAATGTATGGCAATTTTTTCCCCTCTGAACTTACATTACTCCCACAATCATACAAGTCTGCATAGAAGATTAAGATGCCTTAAGATAATTAAGACTAATTATCCATAAGAGGTCTTCAAAACGACCTCTACCATACCCAAATATGTATGTCTGTATCTTTGTTTGCTCAATTAAGTTATGGGCACAATTCAGTGCATAATTGCCAACAAAAAACTGTTAAGATAGTTCTCAGTATAAAGTGATTGTGGTTATCCATTAAGTCAAAGGTTAAAGAGCACATAATTATGATCTTACACTATTCTTTCTTTCTTTGCTTACTAGAGCTATTAAAAGGGAGCATACTTCCCTATCATGATGGAGTGGTATCCAGGTTATAAGTATTAATTGTTTACCTTATTCATTTTGGTGTCTGCTGGAAATCAGTAAGACTGGCAGACTGCTCATTATCAGGTATACCAATTATGATTATTTAGAAGCTTGAATATTTGGGCAGCATGAAGCTGTGAATTAACAATAATGTCCGAATGTTCAACTAGCATGAAAAGTTAGACATTAAGTTTTCCATGGCAGAAGGTTTTCCTTCTTTTAATCTGTTTTTTAAATTTCTGTTTTTCACAGAATCATTAAGGTTGGAAAAGACCTCTAAGATCATCAAGTCCAACCACCAGCCCAACACCACCATGCCCACTCAACCATGTCCTGAAGTGCCACGTCTACACAGTTTTTGAATATACTTCCAGAGATGGTGACAACACCACCTCCCTGGGCAGCCTGTTCCAATGCTTGGTCACCCTCTCAATGAAGAAATTTTTCCTAATATCCAATCCAAACCTCCTCCTTGAGGCCACTTCCTCTCGTCCTATCGCTAGTTAGTTGGGAGAAGAGACCAACATCCACCTCACCACAACCCCCTTTCAGGTAGTTGTAGAGAGCGATAAGGTCTCCTCTCAGCTTCCTCTTCTCCAGACTGAACCACCCCAGTTCCTTCAGCCGCTCCACATAAGACAAGTGCTCCAGACTCCTCATCAGCTTTGTTGCCCTTCTCTGGACACGTTCCAGCACCTCAGCATCCTTCTTGTAGTGAGGGGCCCAAAACTGCACACAGTGTTCAAGGTGCAGCCTCACCAGTGCCGAGTACAGGGGCATAATCACTTCCCTACTCCTGCGGGCCACACCACTTCTGATATAGGCCAGGATGCTGTTGGCCTTCTTGGCCTCCTGGGCACACTGCTGGCTCATATTCAGCCGGCTGTCCACCAGCACCCCCAGGTCCTTTTTGGGGTTGTTGTGGCCCAAGTGCAGGACCTGACACTTGGCCTTGTTAAACCTCATACAGTTGACCTCAGCCCATCGATCCAACCTGTCCAGATCCCTCTGCAGAGCCCTCCTACCCTCCAGCAGATCAACACGCCCACCCAACCTGGTGTCATCTGCAAGGAAATGGAGTATTCTATTTAATATTCTGAAATATAGTATTTTAAGTGTTCCTATAGTTCCAGTACCTCAGCAGCCTTCTTGTTTTCAAGGAAAGTTGCAACATAATTACCATATTTAGCGTGGGGATTTATTCGTCATAGAAAGCTGTTTTCTTAGAAAGTTTGCCGTTTCTGAAGTTGATCTTTAAGATTTTCAAAGGGATAAGTTCTATGTAAATGATCTAAGAGTTATCTAAACTTAATCACTTTCTATTTATAAGATTTCTGTTTGAAGATATGGTTCTCACTGAGACCTTGTTCTGCCTGAAATGTAAAAATTAACTTGACTCACCAAATAGTAACACAGGCTATCAATTCACTTTAGGTCACAATCCTTGTAATGGATTTGATGGTTGGACTTGATGATCTTAAAGTTCTTTTCCAACCTTAATGATTCTGTCATTCTGCGTAATGCTAGAACCAATAATTTAAGACCGTTTGTTCCCAGGTCTTTGTTTTCACCTCCTGACCAATATCTGTCTACATTAAGAGTATAGAAACCCCACAATTGCTAAAAATTAAATTAAACAGCTACTGATAAATGATGTCAGAATAAAATTGGTTGCTAGCCTATATGCCATTCTTTTTACATAAATATATGTTGAAAACAAATTTACAGGCATGTACAGAAAAACATTAGCTCTTTATTTTATGTTAGTATAAAAGAGCTAGTTAGTTACACTGTTCAAGAACCTCTCTAGGTGTAGAAGTACACTACACATTTAAGTAATACTGGTGAAATCTGTATGTATTACTGACAGTTAAAGAGTCACAGACAGATGTAGAAGCTCATCTCCACAGCACATTTCTCGTTCAAGGATAAATCAAGAGATTCCTCAAGTTTGAAAAGGGATCATCTGCACTGGAATGAAACTTGGTCAAGGTCTTGGATATTCTTTGCCATTAGGTGATACATTCTTTGAGATCAGATTATGCTCCCAGGAATGCTAAGTTAATTTTACTTGTTTGCAAAATGCTTTGCACTCTAACACCTTTACAGAAAGGGCTTAAATTAAAGCAGTTTGTTACCTTTGAGTTTCTTTTTGCTTTTCCATTTCTACTGTCTTCCTTTCTTGTTCTTTCTGTTTCAGCCTCTCAGCTTCCAAGTTCTTTTGCTTCTGTAGTTGCTGTTTGTTATGTATTTCTCTCAGCTCCTACAGAAAACAGTAAAGTATGTGTAAACATATACTATGTGAATCATAACTAATGGCCCCATATATTTCTTTGTGAAGTAACAAAACTGGTTGGATCTCTCTGTTCAAACTTACAGTATTGGCAAATGCATTGGCAGACATTTGAGGTAGATTTCAAAGGTCTATAAACCACTTACTGCTTTCCTATTTTTATCCATATAACCTGATATGTTAAAACATTAAAGAAACAAGAAAGTCTTTATTAAATGGCATTCTAAAAAGTTGATGAAAGTTTGACAAAGCTTAAGCTCAGAAGTCACTCATGTTTTATTTTAACTGGTTTGTTGAATTCATTTATTAAATTCTGTACAAAAATCTGCCTGCTGAGCTGCTCATAACAGCAACTGTTTCAGTTAATTGGTTTTATGTTGAAATCAGTGGTGATTTACTAAAGGATCTTCAGGATTGTTTTATATGCAGGGGATTGAATTCCTATAAGCAATGTATTATGGATGAATAGCGGCACAGAGAGTATTCATCCATACAAGTCAGTTTTCCTCTAATTAATTGGAAATACATTGCGTGAAACATTTAGAACATAAACTTTTTAAAAAAAAAAAAAATCACCTTTTCCTTAAGATTCTTCTGCATTTATACCTATTAACACAAGTACAAATTTTACCCTGAATCTCTTTGCACAACCTAGAACTTTGCATCTGAACTCCTCAGTATTACAAGGTAAAAAAGGATAACCTTACCTATGACAACTGAAATTTTTCGTTGAAAATAGTTCACTTTAAAAAATGGATATGTCTTAATGAAAATATAGTACAGATAATATACGCAGAAAAAGTTTGTAGGAGGAAATTGTTTCTAAATCTGTATCTTAATCATGTCAACTTTTATTGAAATATGTTATGACTTACATCATGCAGGCTTATTTACTTCTCGTATCCTTAAAAGTTTTATCTTAATTCATTCAGGGATTGAAACAGTTAATCTTTAAAGTATTTGTTTTTCAAGTTGTATTTGAAAGAATAGTTTTTCAGAAGTTCACAATCTACAAGTTAGCCAGATGAAGACTTCCTGTAACTATCCTCCTGCACTGACCGAAATGTAGAAAATTGCGTAAGAGTAAAAAAAATCCTAAATGTCAAGTGATTCAAAGAGCCAAAATGAGGAAAGTTTCAGTAAGTTAATTTTACAAGGTTATTGGTAACTTCTTAGCTATAGTTTCATAAAAGTTGAAAGTTAATACTTGTTTATTTACAGACTGTACTTGCACTCTGTGGAAAAATTTTAGTTAGTGAAATTAATACATGCATTAGTGCTGAACAACTACACACTGTGAAACATCGGATTTTAAGATGAGATGTCAAAATAACTACATGACAAAGAGGAGTAGCACATGACCTTTGCAAGGTATTAAAAACACTTTTAATATATGGATGAAAGTTTAAAAAAAAAGTTAAGATGAACCTCACGTCCTACCTCAGTTTCATTTCATTAATGATCCTCAATTTTAAATTCAATGAAAACTGAATTCAACATTATTAAAGAGATAATCAGTTCTTATACAAGTTTTAATTAAAACTGTGCTAAGGCCATGAAACTCACTGAAATACAGAGATAATTTGGACAATACCATATTTTATGATCATCATTACTTTCCATAGTCACATTAAAGCTTAGTAGACAGTTAGTATCTAGAATGGATATTACAGAATGTAAAATAAACTGCTCCTGCAAAATCACCAGAATTATTCAGGCAGGATATTGCCTTTGGGAAAATTTTTAAACCCTGAAAGCCCATGATTATAAACATTCATGCATAGACTATTTTGGACTAAGGAAAAGGGAAATACATTAGCTATATTGAACATAATGGGGTTTTAGTAGTTGGCCCATAAAGAACAATGAGAAAATAAAGGGACTGCGAGACTGCAGTGAACACACAGTTGGCCAACTACACCTGCAGCTAAAGGAGGCCTCTGACTGGACTATAAATTTCTGAAGTGCTAACTAGAGTGAACAGTCACTTCCAATAACTGTACGTTATTAATTCAGAGTCTTTAATGTTGTTACACTTGTAATATATTGAGGTACAATGGATTTGGCCCTTGTTTCAAATGAACATCTCTAGGGGAATCACAGTTCCCATTTTCTCTACGTGATCACCTGAACCCTTATTTGTATCAAAAAATATGTACAGGTGAAAAGGACAAATATATGACCATAAGAACATTAGCAGTAGAGTATTTTACAAGCATTCATCTGAAAGGGCATAGATTTGAAAATAGCACAGTTGAAAGCAGTTTTCCACCTGGCCAACACTATTAGAGATTTTTGTAGATTGCAGAAATCTATAAACCTAAGTATCTACAAAGGTCCTGAAGCTAAAATACTACTTCTATGAAGTATCAAATATCTTGACTAGTATTCAGGATTTTTAACAAGCTGTTTCTCTTGTCTGGGTAAAGAGACTGCTATCCAAAGCGTAGGTTTCTGACTCCTACATTTAGTTCAGCTTTAGCCCAGGCTTCCTTTTAGAAATCCTTGACTGTTCTACTTGCTCTAGCTTTCCTTCACATTCATGTCCCCTCCTGCCGCTTAATTTTGTATGCCAAGAAGCTCAAGATTCTGATTCCTGGCCGATGAGAACTCCTCTTGCTATTGAACAGAGAGATCTGGGATAGTCACACATTTCTAATAAGGCAACACCGAAGATAACCTGTTGTTACTTGCAAAACAGTGCCTTCCAGGTTTGTTTTTTCTTCCCCTTAGCATCTTTATCCCAAACTTTGGTGTTTGAGCAGTTAAATAGAAATAATCAATAGGCAAAGAAAGAGGAACTAAAATTCTTGAAGAGTATGAAGGTTATCATAGTTAAACAAAAAAAGCCAATAAATCTCAAAAGCTTTAAGTGAGACAATCCCGATGCAAGTATCTGAGCTTAGTTTACTTTTTAACAAGAAATTTGTAAACTAGAAAGAATGATTCAGTTCATCTAGATACACAGAATCAGGAAGAATCTATATCTAATTCAGAATATTGGTATTTTACCCCCTTTAGAAAAACTTCTTGAATCGTGCAAATACATAAAAACAAGTTACAACTTGCAAGACATCTGTACACCAAACATTACTTCCTTCCACTAGATGTCCGACTATAAGGCCAGCCCAAATTTTATATTTTAACTATAGTTTAGACATGTAAGTTTATCTCACCTCTAAACATATGATATTTGGCAGTAAAAGTGACATATAGAAAACTTGGGGAAATTGTAGCTAAGATCCATGCTGCCATGCCTCCATGTCTGTGTGAAGCAAGTAGTTTCTCATACTGAGTACGTATAGTAGGATCATTAACGGCTGCATCACAGCAGTTAAGTGTTGCTGCCAACTCTGCTCCAAATAATTAAATTATTTTATTTGCTTATTTTGTCTATATGCTCAGCTAAGTTAGGATCTCAAGAACATTTTAATAATCATTTAAGTTTTCCATAGACATGCTAAGACATTATTTCCTCCCAGCTAAACCAATGTGCTAGTTCAGTATTTTGTGAAGAGATTTTTCTGTGACATGCCTGTAACAGTTAAGAAAAACTAACGTAGCTTATACTCCTAGCACTGGATGGAATATTTTTGGAGATAACAAAATGCAATATATATCCTTCTTTGCGTTAGCTAGGAGGAAACAAAGATTTTTATCAGCATCTCATGCAACAGATAGATGCTCTGTTGCTTTGCCAAGTAACAGTGGGAGGATTGGGGAGAAAGAATCAGCATCTCTCACAGTGCTATAGGACAGCAGTTGAACAAAATTATAGTAACACTTCAACAGTCAACAAAATGAAACATTTGCCAGCTGAATATTCAGCACAGTCCTACACTCATCTTTTACAAACACAAGCAACTTAAAAGCTGTACATTTACAAATCGTATATTGTCACTCCAAAGACATAGCAATGCTTTGCTTGTTTCTGGTGTGCAGGACAAAGCATGTCTTACCTTAAAAGCAGAGAGAAATTGTTACCTTTCCACTTAATTCACAAACAGACTAACAAGTATAATTTTGAGATGTTACAATAGCCACATTTAGAAACCCACATAATATTGAATATGAATTAAAATATGAGTTTCATACAGCAGAGTAATATTCACTATATACAGACAAGTCATATTGCTATGAAAACCTTAACGTTAGAAACTTAGTTGTTTAAGCCCAAATTTTGCCTTTTGACAGAAAGACAATAGAACTTAGGATACTTCAGGGATTACAACACAAGGTTTCTATCAAATCTTCTCCCCTTGAGACAAACCAGAGCATTTGATCACAGAGGAAAGAACCCTACAGTTCTGTGCTCACTGAGGCTTTCCCACAGCAACACTCTTCTACCCCACTCCCCAGCTCCCAAAGAGCCTGCTTTGTCCTTGACAGAGACAGTTTCTCCTTCCACCCCACATTATAGCCATAGGGGATTTGAGAAAGGAAACGTATTGCCGTCTCTCTCATGTCTGGAATCACAAATTACAGTGCTGTGTAGGAGTATTTAACATAAAAGTGTTTTCTTCTTAAAAATTCTGAACATCATGACCAAAATAGGCAATTAACTTAAAATCTTGATGTTTCAGGTAAGCAAAAGGCAAAAATAACGAACTAGTACCTTGCCCAGGTTGCAATTCAAGGCACACTCCTCATCTAGGCAGTAAGGATTAGATAAAGAACCAAATTATAAACTCGTCTCTTTGGTTATGTTTTAGTGCTAGCACCTCTTATTAAATACTAACTTAGTTAAACACTGCACACTCATCTGTTTATCGTAAAGTGAAGCACATAACTGGAGGAGGTTCATCACTCAGATTGATATAGTTGTGTACTGCCTGAGTATGGCATGGAGACCTTTAGAAAGGAGTCTAAGTAGTTGACGCAGCCCAGGAGAACTGCCAGGCACTGCAGCATTGCATCTTCCATTGCCACTGACTGGAAGAAAGAAATGCTCAAATGTAAACAGGCATTCATATGCAAGACTTGTCCAGTGCACACTGACCAGACAGGGACTGACAACAACTGGAACATGACACAAAATGTAAAACATTTTTAAGAACTTGATTCTAGTTGTTTACCACCTTTTCCAGGCACTGAGAATAGCTTCTCAGCAAAATTAACATATTTCAGAAACACTAATTTAGTTGTCTTCTCCCATGCAGTAACACAGATAAACTCTAGATACTTGATTCTTCTATGCTATATGAAATTATTATTTCATCTTTAGAGACAAAAATTGTATGAGGAATTATTTTAATTGCTTTATTTAACAGTGTGTAACAACTGACCTTTGCAAAATTTAAATGTAAATTCACGCTGAATGTAGAAAGAATTTGTAAAGGTAAATTATAGTAGAACTATACAAGCAGGAAACCTAAATATAAAGCCTTCTCTTCTGCAGAATTATTTTATAAAATTGAGAATATAAACAAGGGCCTAGTTACATTTTACTAATATCTGTACCAATTTTAATTATTAAGATTTCTAGGCTAAGATTCTTAAAGAGTACAGAAGTTTGATCCAAGACTCTGTGAACCGTAATTAAGTATACAAATAAGTGGCCCAACTTTCAACCTTGTTACAGATTCAGTCACTTACTCTAAGCCAAATACAGCACAATCCACAAGACTATTATCTTCTCTGATAAAATGCCTCAAATCTGATTTAAAAGGATATCTGACCAGCTGCAGGCTAAGGTACATACTTCTTTGCAAAACAAGTACACTTTTCCAACATTGTGGCTTCAGGTTAAAACAATGCCCTAGAAGTCAAATAATTCTAAGTACTAGCAGCTTTCTGAAACCATGTGATTCTACCTAAAGGTATTCAATAGAGATACTTGAAACTACTTGTTTTGAAATATTAATAACATTTTATACTCCAGAAAGTTTTTGAAAAGGAACCAAATTCTGTAAACACTTCCAACTCTTGAGATGTTAAGTTGAAATAAAAGTACTTGATCTTGAAAGGACTAAATCAGAAGAAATTTAAATCAGTTGTTTTGGAGGGGTAAAAAAAGATGCAGTGGGAAAAAAAAAATTAATTTATCTCCCTAGTCACTCATACCTGATATTAGGACATGAAGCAAAGATAAGGCAATTTAAGGCCAATTTTAAGTATTCATTTACTGCAGAACATAGAAATTTTAATATGGCAGCAAATGCAGTGCAATCCACTGTATACTAATATGGTGTTAATAAGCTGACCTTTAACCTAAAATATATCAGAACATCAACTAAATCTTAGTCTCATCAGTGAAAAGGCACACTAGATACTAGTTAAATAGTTCATTTTATCTTTTATTATCACAGCATATTTCTGCACGGGCTATCAGTAGATAAAGTGTAGTCTCTATTTCAAGAGAATGAATTAGAAATGGAGTTTTACAAAACTTAAGGATGTATTCACATAGGAGATAATGCAACCGATATTCATAGCCAATAACATAAGGAATAACTCTCAACCATGATGACAAAAGGTTATAATTTAATGTTGCTGTCAACTTCACTGTCTCTTAAGCATCTCATCAAAACTCGTTTGGCATATATTTTGTACTCAGAGAGCAATAGCTTACATATTTACAATTTTGGTTCTGTTCTCTATTAAATTAAGCATTTTGACTAAGTAAAGACACGTATTACTCCCTCTCCCAGTAGGAAATAAGTGCAAAATGCTGTAAGATCATGTACACCTAAAGAGTATTTAGATATGCAATTTTTTCTGGGAGTTCACACACAGTACCACATCATTCTGCTTCTCGTCCAGAAGCTAGCTGTATTACAGAAGACAACGCAAGCACCAGTGCCTCTCTATCACTTGTCAGAGAACAAAAGCTGCGCAAACCAACATGAATTATGGTGTTGCCATCCTAACAGCCACCCCATCAAATGTGCATCTCTCACTCAGTATACTGAAGTACAGAGTTAAGAGTAGATCACCACTGAAAAAGTCCATCAGTTTTAAACGTATAATTTAGGAACAGCCTTGATTAAAAATGCAGTTCGAATTTTTTTATTAAAAAATAATTTTAAAAATAAATATTTCTGTATTTTCCATCTTCATATATTTTCCCTTAATTTACAAGATAAGAAGCCCTTATTATATTTAGAGCTCAGCTTTGGTAGAATTTTGAATACATTATTTAAAAAGGTTTACATTTAAATGTGAGCATTATACATTTGGCTGATAATTATATAAACTGCTAGGTATTTTAGCACCAAATGAGCCTGCTGTATTTCTGCACCCAGTTACTAATATATTAGTAAACAAAAGGTTCTCTGTTAATTGGGGAAACTATTAATTTGGCAATTATTTATATGCAGTTTTCTACCAAATTCAAGTGCAACAGTCACCTTTCCAATGACAGTTCCTAAAAGTTGTCACAAATGTTTCATTGTTCAGGTAAAAGCATCTGAGAATTATGCAAGTTCCTAGGCTACTTTGTTTTGAGCATTATTATTACCTAAGTGATAGGGGTGTTCTGCCTTGATTTAGGAACAGAACTTCCACTTCACACAAACCCTAATAAAACTAAGAATCTCAGGAAAGCTTTCACAAGCTTTGTGCATAAAGTCTCATATGCAAGGCATTCTGAGAGCTCTCTCCACAAGAACAACAGCCATTAAATCACTGCTGCACACACAGCATCTTCGAAGCTGTTTCTCTGGCAATAGGAGTACTACAACCATTCCACGCTGTGTCCAGGAAAAGTATATATGCTTTTGGAGATATTTATATCCAGGGATAAAATCATCCAGCCCCCTCAAAATACATCTTGCACACGTAGTGAAACTACAAAAAGGATAAGATACAACTCTCTCTGAATTAAGCTCCCACCTCTCAGTTTGAACAGTACACCTGCCCCACTGCCTTGTTTTCACCTCTTAAACTCATCTTTCCCAAGCAAGAAAAGCAAGCTGCAGCAAGGCAAAAATACCAGCATACAGCGTCAAAAAGTGGTCTCCCTATTAAGCACTGCTTCTACACATTATGAAATAAAGAACACAATATCCTCAACCCAAACACAATATCCTCAAGCCAGAGAAGACTTGCTGAAGTCTTCCCAAAGTACTGTCTACATAACTGATTTTCAGCATTTAAGGTGATAGCTCTAAATACTAAGATTTGAACACAAAAATCAATTTCCCCGTTAAACTGCAAAATAGTTTACAATTAGACAAGGCATTCTTGGATAGATGGCAGACATTCTGATAAATCTATGTCTTTGTTTAATGTGCATTTTCCATTTTTAATTATCATTAGTTCGTTATTTGTTAAGTCAAGCGCCTCAGTATTTAAAGTACTGAATTTTGTTTGCTTGTTTTGGGGTTTTTTTCTGCTACTGTCACAGTACTAAGATTATTCACCCCCCTGCCTATTTATAAGCTGTTCGGGTCATTTATAATCAAATCAAATGCTGGCACTAATTTTAGAATTAATATCCTTTGGTCATATTTATCTGCAAAACACTTCAAAAGGACTCAATTTGAAAAGAAAAAAAAAACACCCAAAAAGCATGACACATTAAGATGTGTCCAAAAAGCATATATATATATATTAAAAGAAAAAAAAATAGTGAGGTAAACCATTCTATTTTCTTTTAAAAATAAATTGCAAATATTTTATTTGGTTTGTGTCTCTCATGACTCTGCAGAGATTCTCCCCTTTGTACCTCACTGCCTAAGACTGTGAGAGTCATCTTTGAATTGGCATTGAAACAGGTGGTAGTAGTATGGTCTACAGCTTTTAATTTCTCCTATAATTATTAATAATTTTAATATTAAAATGAGCTATTTGCTGCTTAAATTCAAACATGCCTTCCATCCTAAAGTATCTGATGTAATCACAGTTATACTAATTTCAAAACAACTACAGAAACATTAATGTATCTATCATAGTGCTTTTCCTTCTAAATAGTTGTAGCACAATTTATTATACCTTGCAGAAAATTGAGTATTTTTCTAGTGAGCTTTCAGGAGAAACCGTCAGTTGAATTAGCAGAGAAAGTACTTTAACATTAGAAAATTTTATGAAAAAATGAACACTATCAAAAGTTTGTAACTAAAGACTGATTTATAACCTCTCTCTGAAGAACATTCTTCTACTGACTTTTGCAATTTCTGTAATTCTCTTGTACAGAAATAAACAAAAATCACACAGTTTTAACAAAAGACTGATCAATAAAGCATGAAACCACAAACAACAGACAACTACATTCAGGAACAAGTATGAGCTTATGAACAGCAGATAAAAATTCTGCATGTCAGTAGAAAATCAAGTCTCTTTATTAAAGATTTCAATTTGAAGTACTGATTCCAGTAGATTTGCTGACCTACTACAGTCTTGCACTTTGATGCAAAAGGGCAGAAACTGGCAATTTCATATTTGCAACCACGGATCTGGAATCAGAGCTCAAATTTATTCTTAAATAGATTCTGCAGATTAAGTTGATTCAAACTCTGAGTTCGGATGCTAATTAGTATTTTCTTTTAAAAAAAAAATTGAGAATGTTCCCCAAACTGACATTCTAAATCAATCATTCTAGTTCAATTTTTTTTTCCATAATCAAGTTAGAAAAGAATTAACTGAACATTTAGAAGAAAGGGTTAAAAAGTCTAGGGTTACCTTTAGTTGATTATTGAAAATATCAATTTCCTGAAGTTTAGATCTGGTTTCTTTTTCTACCTCATCTAGCTGGTCTCGAAGCTGTTGACGTGCTAGTTCCTTTGCTTCTAAGGCTCTTTTGATAGTGAGAAGAGAATCTCCTGTATTTAAACATATTGTCAAATAAATATTTTCTTACACGGAGAATTTTAGGTCATAGAAAGCAACATTTTTCAACATGCATCTCGCAACACAAAGAAAGAAATTACAGAGTACACTGTGCAATGCAGCATTACATCCTATACAAACTTGGACATGTACAAAAATATACTTACTGTGCAAACTGTTCTGTTGAACTTGCTTTAGCTGGTCATTAAGCAATTGCTTTTCTGGAATCAATCTTCCAAGCATCTGCTGAGATTCCTGAATAGAAGACAACGAGGAGATAGAAAGCAAGAAGAGACACAGGTGAAAAGGTGAGTGAAGGATGACCTTGGCTATAAAACCTCTCATTTTCATTTCTTCTGAAATGACTCTACTTTTTCTCTCACTAATTTATGTATTATTGCTGTTATCCAACCACTATCTCTGTGGTACTGCCACTCATACATAGTTCTCTGCCAATACAAAAAAGCGAGCATATAAAATTTGAGCGTATCAAATTTAAGCATATTACCTGACAATTGGCTCTCATTGAATATGTAACTTGGCTTGGCATTACTTGAAATTCAGGGAAAAAAGACAAGGATAGATTTCAGGAAATGTTAAAACAAGCACTTATGAACCATTTAAGTATCATTTTAATAAGTGAATATTAATTTTGATCAACAATAGTAAGAAGATATTATGGCCAAAAGCTATGCAACACAAGCTCTGTTAGATGAGAATACTTGAGTCCTAGATCTCTTGATTTATCACTCTTGAAAGAAGACCATGATCTCTCTCAATTTCAAACACACAGTCATAAGATTGTACATCGATATATTACAGGGGACCCTGCAGATGAGAAATTCCTCCTTTGGTGGATCTCATATCTATCTCTCTCTCTCTCTCTCTCACATATAATCCTTGATCTTTCTGGAGGATGAAGTGGTACTTCATACACCTTTCAAAAGCCTTGACCTTCAACTTCAAGTTGTCAAAACGTATTATAGAAAGATAATATGAAATAGCTTATTTTATAAAAGCTGCCTGAGTGTCAATGTCCCATCTTTCAGACGAACAAAGTAATTTATTTCAGCAGTTGTCTTGAATTGCAGGCTTTTGAGGAATTAACCATCTGACAATTTCAATTTGTCATGAAGGATTGCAAATGACATAATACGATCCTAAGAATAAATGCCACCTAATCGCTTAATACCAGAATGAGTCCCATGAAAAGTTTTTAGTTTTTGTTAGAAGACGACAAGGTTGACCTTACTGACGTGACTTCGTAGTCATCTCACTTTACTCATGGCAGTCTTTGATTGGGCCTCTGCAGCGGACAGCTCAGGTCTTATGATTATGCAATGACTGCAGACTACTGTAATCTCTTTATGTTCCAGAAAAAATACTTAGCACAGCAGAGTTAAGGACTTTAAAAATTCACAAAACACCAAAATTAAGATAAATTATGCATTTGACTATTAGGAGTTACATGTATCCCTCACTGTTCAGCTGCATTGCCTATAGCCTCAGCAGATCTTTTTCAGCTCTTCAAGGATAACATGAAGGCCAGATACTCCTGTCATGGGACTATTATTCCCTACCTAGAACCAAAGGAGAAACACCAATGTACAATGCATCATTTTCCTAATCATCTGCCTGAGGGGACCTGCCTCCTTCCCAACAACCACCATTACTATGTTCTTAAACTACATGCAAATCACTGTCCTTCGTGTTCACACTTTCCACCACACCCTCCCACTGAAATACCTGCATGCCCCATGCCATTATTAAATTAGTATAGCACACAGGTATCGTGAAATGAAGTTTTCAAGTAGTATAATCTGAGAAAGGTGGCATCTAGTAGACTAAGTGTATTGACGGATAAACCTCAAGAGAAAGAGGAAAGGAAATCACCTTTCAAGACACAAGGATATAAAAATTCAGTCATTTGAATTCAAGAACCATTTAGATAAGCCAAATAGCAGAATGGATGTCAAAATGAAACAGGGTATACAGAAAAATTATCATTCTTCAAGCACAAGAAGTATCATAGGACAATATTTCAGGGTGGAATGTAATCCTAACCTTAGTTGCTCATTTTTAAAGGCCAGAACACTTCTAAACTCCAGATTACTCAATTTTAATACACAGAATGGTTTGAAGAGTATTTAAGGACAGCAAATGCCAAGGGATCAAGAGGGTCCAGTTCTGTTTCCTTAAATCACAGACAACCATGTAATAAGCATCTATTCCAAGAGCATCCACAACATGCTCTCCCACATCCTTTAGTTGTACTGAAGAAACAGATGAAAGCAATTAATTACTAATACTAAAGTTTCATGCAACAAGAAATTTCCAAGAATTGAATAATGTCTGATATAGCAGAAAGCAAACAAAGCAATCAGAAACCAGTTCCTGTCAATCTAATGAGGGAAAGTTATCTTCTAACCCTACATCCTGAGCAAGAGGGGGTATGAGAAACTGAGGTATCACTATACATCTTAAGTCTCTGCCACATACCCTGCTTCCAGTGCTTCAGAGGAAAGCCAAATTACTTGGGAGCCAAAGTGTTCATCAAGGAGGCAAACAATCCCTGCAGGTAACTAGCAGAAGCCCTGCAGACAGTATAAACATAATTCAAACACATACAGTTTAGGTGTTCGGGAGGCGGGATCCTTCCGAACTTCCGTGGAAAAACCACTCTACCAGATACCTCAGATTCATATAACTAGCACAACTTTTCATCACCCAGGATTAATTGTTATACAGTTTCTTCATAAGTTTAATCAAACTCCCTCTTGAAACTAATTAATAGGTTGAAGAATAATTACTCCTTTGAATTAACTCATCTTGCCCTAGCAAGGGTCAGATGTATTAAACCAAAATATTTCCAAGTGAAGATACATCATCCTACAAAGATAACTGCCAATATTGACTTTTTAATCTATTGGAGAGTTTAGAGAATCAGAATCTCCTTTAAATAAAACAAAACACTTTCTGCTTTAGTCTTTCCTCTACAGATCAGATAGTAAAATTTACAGGATATCTGAGAAACTCCTCTTTTTTTCAGGAAAAACCTATCTCTCTTTTAGATTCTCCCCAGATAAAATTTGGCCTTTTCTACTAAGCAGTGACATTTCTTTCTGGAATCACAATTGTGATAAACCCCTCAAGCAACACTAACTGAAATATTAGTGGTAGAGATCAATGATGACCTGAGAGCAGATAATACCACAAAGCCGCAGCTATTGCTGTCAAACTGAAAAAAAGCCACCTCAAAACCAAAAATCCAACAAAACAACCACCAAGAAAGGCAAGTGTGATTTTCATTACCAAAGTGCTCTTACAGTCATTGTGAATGAAGCAATTTAGAAAGTGAATAGGCATTAAATAAGCTGCTGGATACATACCATCTAGTACCAGTTACCATGACCAGAGATGGTTAAAAATCACTACAAATATAGTAGTGACTCCAAAACAAGAGTAAAGTGTAGACAACTGTGCAAAATTCACTGTACTTCACCAGATGTTTCAATAAAATTTCAGAGTGGTGTCAAAATGCTGAAGACAAAAAATAAAGCAATCTGCTTTTTGACCATTGTGATTGGTAACAAGTAGCACGAACTAAATGTTAGGAAGGTGAAGAATCCCTCTGCCTCCTTAACTTTCCCTTTCATGGTGAAGTAGTTAAAACCAATGCATAAAAGCTGTAAGGAAGGAAAAAGCACATCTACAATCAGCACAGGATATGATTAAAAATTCAAAAAATTGTTAATGAGTCTACAAAGAACACTGTCACTTGTTTATCTAGTACTTTTTAATAAGCTACCTAACCACATCTACTTGTAAATAGGTTATCTTTCTCATTACTTGTGTCCCAATAGTGTTGGTTTCACACTTTTTTCTTCCCTCTGCACCTCCCATTTATTATACCCAGCAGTGGAAGCTCATTCCAAGTTCTTGATAATAATGATATTTTCTCACTTTTTTTATTATGTCTGTTATAATGGGACCCCATCCCAACTGTAGCACATTGGTCTTTACTACAACATAAACACTTACAGCTTTTTACTGTAACACACCATTTTCTCCTTCTTAATTTGTTAAATTATGACAAAAGCAAAGAGATACTTTATCTTTTCTGAATACAGAGGCTAACTGAACAAAAATTACCAAGTTAACAGAAATGACATATGAATTCCATTCAATTTGTTAAAATAGCATTTATCCATCAATGGTTATGTAGCTGCTTAGCTGCTTCTGAAGTAAATACCTGAGACCATTTCTGTGGAAAGCTTTTGGAATAGAAGGGTTGGAGGAAACAAGAGGTTGTGCTTTTACATGGAGATTGGCTGTGCACATATGACCAGTAGCATTTAACTTACTCAGGTAAATAGGGGCTTTTTCACACCTTCTATCAAGCCTAGTCAGCTCTTTGTCTCTTTGAGCCAGTACTGCTAAGTGTAACTTAATTTCCTACACTTGATTCAATGCTGTTTGACTTCATTTTCAGTTGTCAATACAGAAGCATTTTGTTAAAGGAAGAAGAGTGTTTTCAAGCCTAGCTATAGCAGTTTACGACACAAGCTTCCCTCAGTAGCACTTCGTTTGCTATTTTTTGCATCAAGTGGGCACAGTGTGCAAGAATATGATCCCTAAATTATACTCCTTGTAACAAGGTGCTGCCAAAAGAAAGATGACTTGTGAAAGGTGTAATGATGTACGCAAAACTTCAACAGAAATGTAAGATGCTTTAAGAAAGAAGAAGATAACTCCAAAAATACTCATACATAGAAGAAAAAACCTGAGCTGACAAGTTCTGGTTTTGTTCAAATGAATGTACTATATTAATTGTGCTGAGAAAGTTGAAATGGAAAAATAGGATTAGGTTTTAAGATAGGTTTTACACATAAGTCCTTCAAAACCTAAGTGCGAGATCCTCTTTGTAGTGGTAGAAAAGCACTGAGAGCCCTCATTACCAGCCAAGAATCAATTTCAAGCAATATAAAATATTTAATAAAGAGAAAAATCCCTAAATCAAACAGGGATGATCAAACTGTCCTGGTTTCAGCTGGGACAGTTAGTCTTCTTCACAGAAGTCAGTATGAGGCTATGTTTTGGATTTGGGATGAAAATAATGTTGATACCACAGGGATGGTTTTGTGTAAGTGCTTACACAGGCCTTTTGCGCCTTTCACCCCACCCCAGCAAGCAGGCTGGGGTGTATAGGAAGCTGGGAGGGGACACAGCCAGGACAGCTGACCCTAACTGGCCAAAGGGATACTCCATACCATATGACATCATGCTCAGTATATACAGTTGGGGAAGGAGGAGGAAGGGGGGCACATTCAGAGTGATAGTGTTTGTCTTCCCAAGTAACCATTACACATGATGGAGCCCTGCTTTCCTGGAGATGGCTGAACACCTGCCTACCCATAGGAAGTGGTGAATAAATTCCTTGGTTTTCTTTGCTTGCATGTGCGGCTTTTGCTTTACCTGTCAAACCGTCTTTATCTGAACCCACGAGTTTTCTCACTTTTACTCTTCTGATTCTCCCTCCATATCACCATGAGGGGAGTGAGTGAGCGGCTGTGTGGGACTTAGTTGCTGGCTGGGGTTAAACCACAACATCTGGAAACCTTTCCAAATTTTAAAGAATATTCTTTCGCCCGAAGTAGACATTTACTCAATTCCATCTTTAATTTGACAGAGAATTTTAGATAGAGAAGTAAGAAAGATTAATGACAACATTAGATCAAGAACTAACTGGTTTAACTGGTAACTTCAATTTTGAAAGTTCATTATTTTATAGTTAAAAAAATAAAAAGCATCACCAACAAGCCATTTAACTGGTCAATTCTTTCTTTCAGCACAAAACCAGCAATCACCGTCAACAGAAATACATGCCATAAAATATCACTCTCCTTCCCCAAAACTCTTTAACATCTTCAGCTAAACAATTTATTTATTGCTCCCCACAACAGGATTCCATGGACGAAGTAGTAATCACAGATACACCCTCAAGTGTAGGAAGTAATCCTTAGACATGTCTGAAGAACATTCCTTTAAAAGAATGACAACTTATCCACAATAATTCCTCATGTACAAGGAACTACACATCATATGTTGTGGCAAGTTTGCTTAGGATATTGATGCAGCTGAGGAGGTCAAAATGCAAGGCTAAGAACAAAATTAGAGAAAGTTTTCTCACCTGTAGCTGCTGTTGCAAATGGGTAATCTCTGCAATTCTCAGTTCTCTAGATTTATTTGTACTTTCAATTTCTTGTCTTTGGGTAGACAGCCGACATCTGATATCCTGAAGCTTTCCTTCCAACTGATTTTTTTTATCATTCTTTAGAAAAAAAAAAAAATAGCTCTCTTTTTTACCAGAATCATTTGTCATGCAAGTCAGGATCTAAAAAGTAGTTTTGTTCTGTATTTAAAAGTTGAAATTATAGAAAACAAACATGATCGTATCACAGTCACTACTGTGCTTGTGTGTTTTATCTGCAATGTGATCACTTACTAGAGCTTCCAGCTCAAATTCTAAGGTCTTCTTCTTTGCCTTCAGAACAACTATATCCTCTTGTTCTTTGTTTCTTTGATTTAGTAGTTCTTGCCGACGATTACGCTCCCACTCAAGTTGCCGTTGCCTCTCAAGTTCCCGTTTTGCAGCCTTTAGCATTAAAAAAAAAAAAAATTAAAATTATGAAATATCTATTTTGAGAAACTATTCTAATCACTGATATTCATATTCTAATGTGCATTTAAAACAATTTAAATACACTGATAAACTGTGGACTAAATATGTGCCTCTATTTAAGCACACCAATTGCTCAATTGTTTAAGTGCTCACTTGAAAGCACTGGTGAAAATGGGCTTTGCTGTATAGCTGATAGGTGACTAAACAGAATATCACTTCATTTTAATCAGTTTCCCAAGATCTACTCTTCTGATTTAACAAGTTCATACTAAGACTTCAAGAACTCTCCAGGATAGCATTCAAATCTCTCTCCAACCTCTGACATTAGACATTCTGCAGCTTTGCAAAGAACAGTCAAAACTGCACTTAATGCATCATTAATTTGCCATGTGCAAAAATAACAGCTTTATAAGTCAACCAGTATGCGTTTTCTTTAACAAATTAACTCCTTACAGGAAAATCATGAATGCCACCAATGCCCATAAGTTTTTCTTCATTCATTCAAGCATCTCTTTATAACAAAGAAAAAAATTAATAATAACAATAACAATAATGTAAGTCAGAGGTTAGGAGCACATTGTCCTAGATCTAAATGTCTGATCCATTAATTTCACATGAAAAACAAAGAGAGACAGCTGACTCTTTCCTTACCTTCAAAACCACAGAAATTTAATTCTTTAAATGTTTGCTTACCAAAAATTATGGCAAAATATTTAATGTTCACACTACATTTTGTTCTAATCAAACACAGCAGCCACTGACATAACCACCTTCCTTTTATCCAGTTGGTTACCTCTCTTCTTTCTATTTCTTTCCTCCTTTCCTCTTCTCTCTGTCGTTCCAATTCCCGTTGTTTTTCCAATTGTTTCTCTAGCTCCAGTTGTCTTTTACGTTCCTGCTCCTGCCGCTCACGTTCTTTCCTTTCCTGCTCTGCTCGTTCCAGCTGTGCTAGACGCTCTTGTTCTTTGCGTTGCTGTTCCAGAAGAGCCTGCCTCCGTTTTTCAAGTTCTAGATTGCCACGTTCAAAGTTCTCACGTTTTTTATCTTCAAATGTAACTTTAATGTGTGGAAACATGGGGCAAAGGAGAATTAAACTTTGCTACCAAGTTTAAAAAAAAAAAAAATCCACATATGCTGAATCAAAGTGAAACAACCTTCCAACAGTATTAGATGCAGCTCTCAACTACTTATAATGTAGCTCTACAGGTAATTCTAGGTTTTATCATTAGCATTTATGTTGTAGATCTCCTTAAACCTACATCCTTAGGAAACCAAGGTGTGAATTTCAGTTCCCATTCCTCAGGCTTCTAGGTTTCTCCACAAGGCTCAGCAAGTGGGTATAATTTAGACAATCCATTTGCCAGCTAATCCTTTGTGTGGACACAGAATCTGGGGTTCGTCTGTACATTTGATTACTAAAAGCAGTACAAGAACCAACGCCTGAATTACTACAAGTAAGGCAAAGAATTCAGCTGATGATATTATCAAAAAGCCATTATGTAAATGACCAGAATGTACTTAAACTTTATATTCTCATAAGATTACTCATTACTGTCAGGAAAAGAAATGGCTTGCTTAAGTTCTTGAGCAGCTGAAGTCAGGAAGACTGGATTCCTGCAGATTCACATCTTCATCATTCACCATCCTAAAAGAATGACCTCAGTTCCAGCACAGGTTCCCTGACATTCTTCTGCAATATTGGGGATTGTCCTTCCCCTGTTCCACGTTCCTAGGCCCTTCCCTCACAGTTCCTCCAAATTATTCTTTCTACTTCACCTTCTGTTTCTTTTCATACCCTATATGTCCCATTCCCATACCCCATACTATCTATTTCTCTCCCTACGTGCCCAACATGTGCGTTTTTGGCATGCAAGTCAAGAGATAGCACATATTTATTTCAAAGTGTGCACACACCAACTGACATGTTGGCCCGACATCTGCTGCACCAGTTCAATTCTTGTATTTTTCTAAGTTTGGCCCCCTTTCCTATTGCCAATCATAAAGTTTCATAAAACTTTAAAAAATTTAACCACTTTGATGTCTGTCAAGTTTATTTAAAATTAACCACTGGGTTCAAAGAAAATTAAGATACAGACTGATACAGAGAATTATAATCCCCACTTAGGAAACAAAGAAAAAAAGGAAAAAAGAAAGAAAAAATAGTTACGTCAAGAAAGTCAGTTAAGAGGAACAGGTAGAAGGGCAAAACACTTGCAAGTAGCATGGATATTAAGATACCATGTTTAAGGCTCAGAAAACACATACCATTAAGAAGAAACACCAGGTTATAAGATGGCTGCCCAACAGTCTAGAATGTTTACTCAGCAAAATCAAAGTAGCTACCGGGGGTAACAAAATAAAGCGTATCCAAAGTATGAAAATAGAAAATAACAATTTTTATCAAATTAAGTAAGTAGCTACTGGCTTGTGTTACTATCTTTAAGGGAAAGCTTCTAAAAGGTTATAAAAAGCAACAACAAAAGCTCTTTCAAACGTCTCAAAAGAAAAAAAAAACCACCTAGCCAGATTCAGCAAAGCCAATGAAGAAGCAAAATGACATTCACTACTATAAGCAATCTTTACAACGGAAAATCTATACATCAAATACAGTAAACAGCTTATACACTCTAGTTCCTCTTTAACTGAAAACAGAAATGGCTTTAGAACAAAAATAAAACCAAAATATGAAGAGTAACAGGTTGCCAAACCCAGACAATACTAATACATAGTTAAAATACAAAATTCATAAATGACTAGCTGTGCAATCCATCATTTAATCAACGTCAGTGCTGTTAAGACTAGAAGATGAAAGTGCAACACCAGTCTTTCAAGAAAAGACAGTATAATGATCCTGAAAGATACAGACAAGTCAGTCAACTCCCACAGTGGGCAAAGTAGCAGAGGCTACAGAGAGAGAGTTAGTTAGTATACATGACTAAACATGATACCATGGAAGAACCAATGCAGGAAAAAGCTGCTCCTCAAGTCCAATAGACCCAATTGTATCAATAAGCAAGTTGAATAAGATCAGGTCAACAGAAGAACACCTGCATGATTTTGAAGTCTAATAAACAAACTAACCCAAGGAAGTGGTTGACCTTCCTGACACTACAAACTGCACACCAAATTCCTCTGATTCCAGAGACACAACACTTAGGCCTCCAAAAGCCAATACAGAAGGGTTATATCTCACCTGTTACCAAACACCTCATTGTGAGACCACAGTGAGGTTTGTTTCAGCGGTCCCTACTATCTCCCTTCATCCTTCTACAGCCAGGAACTACCCAGCAGCAGTTAGTTATACAAACCAAAGACAAGAGTTCTACCAGATCCCCTGAACTAACCTGGTATGGAAAGAGACAGAAGATCCTTGGGAACTAACAAACAGTCAAAAGAATAGAATCAAGGGGTGAAATAAATTACCAACCCTCACAGTGACACAAAGATTCTTAGTAGCCTCCTTCAAAGATCTCTACTAGCAATTGTGCTATTCAGTGTGCAACAATGATCTGGGAGAGATTGAAAAGTAACAAGACAGCTTCTGGACATGATGTCAGATAGTCACAGTATTAAAATAAAAACCTGACTGTGAAGAGCTTTAGAAGAATCTCACAAAATTGAGTGATCTGGCAATGAAACAGCAGAAGAAATTCAAATGTTAATGAATACAGAGTAGTGTACACGGGGAATCAAAATAATCCTAACTAAACATACACAGTCATGAGCTCTAAAATGGTTAATAGATTTGTAGAAGGATGTTGGCATCACTGGGGAAAGTCTTCTGAAACATGGACTCAGATCTAAGCTGTGATCAAAGAGGCAATACAGTGTTGGGAATCAATTAAAAAAAACCTGAAAAATAATTCAGAACAAAACAGAAAAGCATTATTACGGCACTGTATAAATCTGTCATGTTGCTACATCTTCCACTGTGTGACATTCTAGTCACCTTAGAATAAAATAGAGCAAATGTAAAGAAAGTACAAAGAAGAGTTAAAGAATGATCAAAGTGTTAAGATGTTTCCTAACATTTAGCATTTAGGAGGCTTTCTCTCTTTCTTTTTTCCCTGTTCTTCCTCCTCCTACACCCTCAAAAGCAGAGCTGCTTGTATAAAAAAAGCATATTGTTACACAGACTGCAATGAAACAAGCCTCTGTATGTGTACTGTGAACATTTAAAGAGTACATAAGCCAAACTACACTCCACCTCAGTCAGAAGATGGAAGTAGTAAAAAGTTTTCATTGCAGTCCTATAAGAGGTCTGCCAAGTGCTGCCTCTGTTGAGAGTACATAAGATAAGCAGCCAGAAAGTTGTTCATATCTCCATTGTCACTAACACAGTGATCATGCAACAGTCAGGAAACAGCTGGACCAAGCAATGGCTAAGGTTGTGTCTCTGACATGTCACAAACTGATCTAGAAAGAAAAGGTTTCTTAGTAAGTCTTTACAACTCCACAGCATATAACTTGATGACAACATTCCTCTGATAACAGGACACAATACATCTCTATTGTTGCTTGCTTACCTGGTAATTTCTTTTCCAGTTGCTGCTGTTCTTCTTCTAATGCTGGTTCTTCTGGTAACCTTTGGTCTACAGATACTGAACTTACAGCAGATATGCCACTACCAGAGCGTACTCTTCTGTCAATAAAATGATAATTCCAAGTTGCTTAAAAGAACCTCTGCCTGACAAATTTATTTATGATTTAATGATGAAATCATAAATTAAATGCAATGATAGTTAATGTTCCCTCAGTGTTGCCCAGAGGATTTTACTCAGCCACTGCCATTAAGATAACAATGCCCTCCAGAGTCCCAACAGCACACACTGGAGACCTAAGAAACCTCATTCAAAGTTCACAGCACCATGCAACTTACAGCTGTGTTCAACCCTGGCCCCAAGATCTCTTATTTGTGACCAGTCTGAAGTTGGAGAAATGCTGACTTATACTACAGCAAAAGTTGCAAAAACAAAGGAAGAGCTTACTATAGTCAATCTAAAGACAGGACCCCACACAGAATAAAAAAATTGTCATCTTTACATATTCTCCTGAAGAACATGAAGCTATGACTGTATGCAAACATTTCTTTCCATTGCTGTTACTGTATTGCCACCCATTTCTCCACAAAAGAGTGAAACAGAGAAATAGAAGTAATGACAAGTATTCACAGATACAACTGTACCAAAAAAGACATCTGAATTTGCTACAGTGTAAATTCATGGCATGTTTTCAATTCCAGTACATCCCATTTGCTCTACAGAAGTATAAGCTTGAACTAAAACACTCTAAATTTCTACAGCCAGACTGAGTAAGTTTTGGAAGGTACGCTAGCATAAAACATTGACCAAAACTGTACTCTTACAGGGAATTCTTGCTAATTCCAGCATCCACTACTTGTAATAAAACCAAAAAGTGAGACAAGCATTTCCAAATGAGAAGGCACTCTGTGCCATAGATGCAGTACAAAAAGGAGAAGGGTTACTTTTCAATCTCTTGTCCTTTGCACTCATATGACAGCTTTCCCAAATAAAATAACAATTTATTCCAGAATTATAACCAGTTACCTAAATGAAGGTGGAATATACTCTGGAGGCAATACAGGTGGCAGCGGCTGACCAGACATAGCTACATCAATTAAGTGCATAGCCAGAATAAACTCTTCGGCTGTAAGTTTTCCATCTTGATCGATATCTGAAAGATTCCTTTTTAAAGAAAAGGTACAAAGTCAGTAAATTCTTAAAGATTAAAAATCATTGTTAAAAAGCATAGTTTTAATGTATTCAGTTCCAAATTAATTCACTTCACTTTTTTCCACATTACTTTGTTTCTTTAAAACAAATAAAAAGCAAAAACCAAATGCTTCACTGTTTCCCACATTTCTCATGCATGCCTGGCCTTGGAACTATCCTTACAGCCAGGGCTTCTACTTACTTGCTGTTTGAGTGCTGCCTGTACGGTATGCTGTATAAGTAATGTTAATCAATGGAGTTTTCTTGAACACCTTGTGAACACCCACTACACAATATAATTTAGAAAAGAATCAGCTGATGCCTGGTAGAACTTTTTGAATTGGTCTCCTACCTCACATTCCAGAGTATATATATGCATTAAAATCAAAGTCATTAACATTCTAGTCCTGACAAGCACAAAAACATTTTAGCATCATGCACATATTAAAAATTATGGAGTAATGTCTCTTGATGGCCTAAAACCAGTGCTCCAAGAGATGCACAAAATGCTTTTACTCATATTAAGATGGTATTGGACAAAATTTAACAGCCTAAACACCAACTTTGTTTCTCTAGCGTGCTGCACTCTAATCATGCAGGAAAATCTCCCATGATACTGTGAAAATCGAAGGTAAGCAACTGATACATTATTTTGGTAATGCAAGGTACAAGACTTTGTTTATGGGATTTAAATTTGGAAGACAATTAGAGCCTCATTTGATCCTTGCTGGTTGGGGCACAAGAACAAGCCAGTAGAAGGAAAATTTAGCATGCACAGATATATTTGATCCACTATCCTGACAGTCTGGGTCCACATCTTTGTTATGGCAATACCAAAACAGCTGCTACAAAATAGCTGACAGGCTGGATATCAGTACTTCACTTTGTGTGTCTATGAGCCAGTGAATCCAATCCCAATATAGACTGACAAATATTGCCCCAGAGAACAGCAACAGCGGTTCTACTGCCAGGGAGTAAGTATCAGGAAAGGGAGCAATACTTAGAGGACAACAAAAGCTATAAAATCCATTCTTTGTCTTGGCAGTTTTGAATGTCAAAAATTAAGACTTATGTTTAGAACTCCTGGAGTATGCTGATGTCATTTCCCTACCCACACAATCTACTTAAACGCTGGCAGTAAGTGGAGTATTTTTTGGTTAATCATCTGCTGATGATTAGGTTGATATTTTTTTCTTTATGGTAGCTTTGTTAGAAAACAGAGGAGACAGAGCTTTTTAAGATATAACAAAAACATCAGTTCTTAGCAAAGAAAGCAAGTGCTACTGCACTGCCACATCAGAGAGACAACACAGTTGACATCCTCATGCAGAAGTCAGATGGGTTAGTGAGCTGACAATGGTTTTCAAGCAAAGACTTATAAAATACAGACGTTCATTAGTAACAACTTTCCATGTGACGATAAGAACATAATAAACTTCAGCAAATAAGAAGTTGAATGGAACAAGAGAAGCTGAGACAAATCCTTTTAAAATACATTATTTTGAAACATATGTAACTCCAGCCGCTTGGAAATAAGCCCTTAGAAACTCGCATAAAAGGCAGACAAGCCCCAAAGAAAGTATGGTTCTGGATTAAGCTTCTTTTTGTACTACCTGTGCAAATATATGTTTCACTGGTGCTGTGCCACAAGTGGCCAGGGATGTGGAAGACATAGGAGGCTGAACATCTGGTCTGCCTAAAAATCCCATAATTGAAACCCAACTTAAAAAACATCTATATGCATAGCATAAAAGATGCTCGCTCTTAGTTTTGTGAAGTAATATTAATATAAGCATAGCAGTGCAGGTTTTGGTTTATGAAGTTATACATTAAAAAGAGCAACGCAGAATGATTTATCAGTGGAGGGAGACTGAAAATGGAGAAAAAAACCCACAGTATACAGTATAGAGGTTTAAGTACAGTTTCCAGTTTGATGGAAATTGATAGATTTCTTTTTACCATATTGTAGCCAGCTGAGCCTGGGGTAAACTTGACTGCATAAGAATAGTTCTTGCTTGTGGACCTAACAAAGTGAAGCAACAATTAACAATCAAATAAGCAAACTTTCTCCTTTTCTTGCATTATCAAGTAGCTACTGCACAGCAAAGCTTAGTTCTGAATGGTAACATTGAAGAGATATTATCAGCATGAACAGGCTATACAATACTGCTATCTCTAGGCTCCCCCTCCCGCCAAAAGGAAAATACTAAAAAATACATAACCCTTCCCTTCTCCACAACAATCACTCAGATTTAAAAAAAAAAAAAAAGCAAGCTATGAAAGGCAAAGAGATGCTTCAAGAAGTAGTAAAAGTAAGCCAGTGTACCATTCTAGTTTCTTTCCGAAACTGGGTACGCAACCACATCAGTGGATGAACTGAACACTGTAAATGACTGCACAAGTTTTTAGATAACCAACCCGTTGTACCCTTTCCAAGAATAATTTACTAGTGCTAACTTACTGTGCAGAAAATAAATGAAAGAAAGTGTTAAAATGATCCCAGCTACGATGAATATTTGCTTCTAAACAGGATCATTAAGCACTTGGGATATTAGAAGAGAAAAATATTGACGGTGTCGAGAGAGAGAGAGAGAGAGAGAGAGAGAGAGAGAGAGAGAGAGAGAGAGAGAGGGGGCGAGAGAGAGAGAGAGAGAGAGAGAGAGAGAGAGAGAGAGAGAGAGATGAGAGTCTCTTTCTATCTAAATAGCATTCTAAATGCTATTGTAATTGGTCTTTTACAGTTTGAAAAAGGAGACAACAAAAACTGCTTCAATACCTGTTAAGTGTCCACTCATTGTTTTATCATGGCTATTGAACAGCTGTCTGTACTTCAGTCTTGATGACTGAGGTACAGCCCACTCTGCCACAGGAGGCACACTAGAATTAGAAAAAGAATAAGGAGGGGGGGAAATATAATTTGAAATCTAATCATATGAAGCTAACAGGTAAAACAGGATGAAGTGCTGTATAGAGATCAAGTTTTATGCCCAAAATGGTTCTTTTCACAAATATTCCCTTCTATTCCTGAAACCACAACAGGTTTAACTTCTTGTTTCAAAACATTTATCACAATTCAGTGTCTTAGAAGATGTTTCTTGGTAAAGTTGAATGAGAGACCTAACAGTTTTCCTTTTTTCTTTACTAGCAGAGAATTAAGTATCCTAAAGAGTTTAGAGGAGCTAAAAGCTTTTACCGAAACATGTAATAGGAAATGCCTTACCGCAGTCAGCAAAAGTAATATCTCATTTTACCCTGTCTTTAACTGGTTGTTAATTCCATTAAATAAGCCAAATAATTCATAAGCTGATTAAGGAAAACAAATGTAAAATGTGCTGAAAACATAGACAAAAGTGTGAAAAAGCTACACGTGAAAGCAATCAAAGTTTCTCATAATGGAACTCAACTGACAAATATAATATTCTCATTTCTAATTCATTCACATAATAGGTTGAGTGCTGTTACTTGTAGCTATAATTTCCGATGTTTAAAGGCTGACAATTCTTCATACTGAAAAACAATGAGCACAGTTTTTCTGTCTTTAGGCACATTCCAACTTTGTCCTTTTTTGTTAAGGTTGAAAAAAAGAAGAGAGTGGGGAAGGAGGCAGCCAGATTAAATAAGCATTTGTAACAGCATACCAAATTACAGTTAAAAAAAGAAAAAGAACTAAAACCGCCAAATCCCTTTTCCCTGGTCCACAGAGCCAATAGCATAAGATGATCTCTAAAAGTTGAGGTGAGAAGGATTATATAAATGCTCTACTAATTGACCTCATACCCTATTCTCACATGACAAGACCAAAAGCAGCTAATTCCTCTATTTCTATTTTCTATTTCCAAACTATTGTACTTTAATAATAGTCTTTCATGGGAAAATAAGAACTGGAATTAAAAAAATTTTAAAAACCCCAAACTCCCCAAAAAACCCACAACCCTCACTATTAAGTGGGGGTTAAGTTTTATCCATGTGAATGCCTGCCTCTAGATTTGGTTTCCACACATTATATCAACTTTTGTCTTACATATCTATGTACCTTGATCTGTGAAGTAAGGTTACTACACATTAAGTAATGAAACCCTCCTTCATGGATACCCAAATGGTAGTTTTGGAAGAAAAAATGCTGGAGGACAAAACAGTTGACTCATACACGCCAAGAGTTCACTACTGGTGGCTCGGCAGACAGACTGATAAAAGCACTGCAAATGGAATTTTTTATTTCACCCTTCTCAAAATTCAAAATAATTCTCAGCTTAAAAAAAAACAAAAACCAAACACAAAAAAACCAAAAAAAAACCTACTTCAACTTTACGTTTCAATTTAATGAACCTGGCTCTTCTTCCTCCCTTTCCATAAACTCTGCAAATCAATTACCTTGCTATCTGTTTTCTCCAACATAAAACTTGAAGACACATGGCAGTTCATCACTCAGCACTAGCAGTAATCTGTTGAAGGAATACCCCTTGCGGTGCTGGCAGACGTTTCAGAGTTACTGAAGTAACTGTGATTGAGCTAAAGAAGCTTCAATCTCAGCCCAAGCCAATTCAGAGAACCATGCCATTTCACCTCAGAAAAGAAGTCATCTCACCTGAGGTTCAGGCCTCTGTTGGCAATAAAAGTGACCAGCAAGATTCAGATATAGTTAACCCCAAAAGTATGACAGCCCTCTTACAGAGTATCCAGAAGCCATTTCAGCTGAAGTTCCCTGAACTTCATTCATTATGAATACTAAAACTGTTGCTATAGACAAAACAGGTAACTTCTTGTACCTCTGGAAATTATATCAGAGCATCACTACCATGTTCCTGACAGTACTAGATTTCAAACAGAAAAAGAATTGTTTGTTCTGAAAGATTTTTAATCCTATTTGCCAATAACCAGTAGTGTCACTTATCTAATAGCAAGGCACAAGAAAAACCTGCAGAAGAAAAATGAAAATAAAAATAGATAATTGAATAATGCCGCAATCCATTTTCTTCGTGAAAAAAAAACTGTAGTATAGATCTGTGAGAAAGTTTTGATTTATAAAGACTTTGGGAAATTACTATTTACCTCCCTCTAAGGAAGCTTTATTTTGTTAGATACATTTCCTCAGACCGTAGTAAAATACATTTTGCCTAATGATACATTTTCCTTTTAGGTGATTTTCATGCAGAACTTGAAGAATATATAAGAAACAGTTTACGAAGCGGATTTAAAATATGAGAACTAGAAAATATTTTGCTTTTAAAAATAATCCTAGAGTTGCTAATTGTTATGTTTTCACACTAACAGGAGTGTCTGTGCAGTATTACACAATGCAGATTATGTTTACAAAAGCAAATGCTTTTCTAATAACTTTTTCAAGAGTTTGAAAATAGTGTCAACACATACTGTAATAGTTAATTATTATATTTCAATGATTCAGTACTCATGGAGCAGTCCTTGTAAAACCACAGCATCCTATGAAGTCCTGAAGCAGTATCTCA